ATGGGATTGTGGCTGCGCCTCCCACAGCCTCTCCGTAGCGTCGAGATAGGCTGCAAATGTGCACAGCCAAACTTAGAGCATCACTTAACGGCTGTGCAAAGACAGAGGCGATGTCACTGTTTAGAATGTGCATTTTTCTGAACTTTACTTGTTTGGCCGCATCTCACCACAACACTCCGGTGTCACACCAGCACAGCGGTGCCCCGGTAGGAATGGGGTCTCAGCGTGGGGTCATGGAGCAATGCTGACGGCCCTTCTCAGCGCCCACAACCCCTCCGAGTGCCCCCGCTGCCTGCGGTCGGGGCCGGGCACTGTGGAGCTGCCTCCCGGCGTAAGCCTTAAATAGCAGCCTATGGAAGCACGGTGTGAGGCGGGATGTTGTGGAGTAACGCGGTATCAAACTACGGCACCTACAGGGTGATGAATCTGGGGTCGGGAGCGGACAGCCGGACGGACACCGCCGGCTGGGTTCCGTCGCTGCCGGGGCCGGGCAGGCAGTGCGCAGCGCTCCGCTGGGACGGGGCCGTGCGCGTCACAACGCCGCTGATCGCGGGCGCTGCGTGGCGGTGCCGTCAGACGCTCAGAGCCGCGCAACCGACGCGCACCTCCCGCCGGGGCCCTTTTCCCTCCGCCGCGGGGCAGCGCTGCCCGACCCCGACCCCAGGAACAAAGGGTCCGCCCGGGGGTGGGGGGAGACCCGCACGGCCCCGCACCGAGCGGCTTCCGCTCCCCGGCAAGTTCAGCCTCTGCGAAATGAGTGAATGGCACAGCCCCGCCGAACTTGGAAAAACGATATCATCCTTGTGTGTGTGTGTGTTGGGGGGCTGAAATAATTAATTCGCCAATCAGCGACGTTTTGGACGTATTTTTTTCTTTTTCTTTTTCTTTTTCTTTTTCTTTTTTTTTCCCCGTACCGCCCGGCCCGGGGCGCGGCCCCGCGCTGCCGCAAATCACGGCCCGGCACTCGGCGCGGCCACGCGCCGCAATTAACGCGGGCACGCAATTAGCGCGGGGACGGGGCGCGCCGCCATCCATTACCGCGGGATGCGAGCCGGGCAGGGAAATGATAAAATACGTGGTGAAAAGCGGCGGCGGTGGGAGTGCCTACATGAGTGATCGCCTCGGGCTTCTGCGCCTTGAACTTAGCGCGCCGGGAAATCCCCGAGGTCAAAAAGTAGGAAAATTGTTGCAGCCCGGGGAGATATATTTTAACTTCGCAGAGGGTCCGCGCGAGTTCGGCCCCGGGGATGGTGCGGGCTGCCGGGAGCGCCGCGTTCCCCGTTCCCGGTTCCCGGCTCGCGGCGAAGCGGCGCTGAGCGCCCCGAACCGCCCCCGGGAGCTGCGTGCGGGCGGAGCGGTGCGGGACGGCCCCGAGTGCGGCTCCCCCCCCCCCCTCCCCGCCGTCCGCTCCCAACCCCCTCCCGCTGACCGCGCGGCTGATTTATGGAGAGCGATGTTTTAGCAGAAATCCCCCAGAGTCGCCCATCAGCCCTAAATCCCCAACCTGCTCTCCCTGGGAGACCTCATGACACAGAGCATGCCAAAACAGCTCCGTTTTGCCTATGCATTAGCAATCTATTTTACCTTTTTGACATCTCTCACACATAAAACCGTAAGAGAGAAATAAAATATCTGTCTCTGGGCGAAAATAAAGCTTTGCCTCCCTCCTGATCTATAGGATATAAAATAAAGCCATGGCTTTGATAGTGGCTTTTCCTTATACCGGAGTTGCTTTTGCACACACGAGACAATGAAGATGGATGAGCGGGGATCGGTGCCTCCTCTCGGGGTTTGTTTCACCCTTTTTTATCGTCTCCCCCTCCCCGCACCTCTTTACTTTTCTTTCTTTCTCTTTGATTCGCCTTTCCCTGCGCTCCCTCGCTCTCTCCCGGTGCGCACAGCCCCGTTCCCCGCGGCCGGGCTCGGCCCCATCCTGGCCCCTTCCCGCTGTTTCCCGACCCCTCCTGGCCCGTTCCCAACCCCTCCCGATGCTTCCCGGCTCCTCCCGGCCCGGCGGCAGCCCTCACTCAGACGCGCACACCGTCGGAGCTGTAATTATTTATTAACTGTATTTTCCCATAAACAACTCGGGAGCTTTGGATGTAAGCGACGACATTTAGCGACTTGGAGAGAACCCTGGGGGGGGTTCGTCCGGGCTGGGGAGGGGGGAGGGGCGGGGCCGTGCGTACCCCCGCATCGCACCGCGGGCGGCACAGCGACCCGGGGCACCGCTCCGCAACTCCGAGGGCTTTTCGGCGCTCGTTGGCACCGACGCGGCGCGGCGTCCCGTCCGGCCGTGGAGAGCGCAGGGCTGTGCCACGGCCGGGAGCACCGCCGCATCGCGCCGTTCGCTCGGGGAGATGTCCGAACCGGGCGGGAGATGTCCCATCTCCCGACAGACCTTCGTTTAGGCGGCGCCCCGGCCCCGAGCCCTCTCACTGCGGGAAAAGTTGCGGGAGAGGCGCAGCGAGCCGTGCGAGGCCGAGGGGAGCCCAAAGGACTCCCGCATCCCCCGGCCCGGTTTGGGGCAGCGGACCGCTCGTCCTTAGAAATCGCTCGCGGGATGAAGGGCCCTCCCAGGCCCGCAGCGCTCCGCGGTACCGGCGGAGGCCCCGCAACTCGCGGCGGCCGCGGGAAGGGTGAAAGCGAAGTGCTGCAGCGCGCCGGGCCCGGCCGTGCTCACAGCTTGCGAGGGGGAAAAGGGCAGAGCGGGAGAAAGGAGAGAGCCGCCGGGAGAGCTCCCACCGCTGCGCCCGGGGCTGTCCGTGCGGGGAACGAGGAGCGGCCGTGGGGACAAGCGGGGCACCGCCGCGAGCCGCGGTACCACCGAAAGGCAAATTCAGACTCGCCTGACAAGGGCGTTTTGTTTCCGCATTGGATTTAAAATAATCTGCATTTTTAAATCGTTATTATTATTATTATTATTATTCCATCTTGAAATTTGCTCCTTTTTCGGCGCCGCGCACCCCCCGAATGGAACGGGGAAAACGAAACGAACTGAACCAAACGGAGGAGCGGCGCCGCGCGGTGCCGGGCGGGCAGTGGGGCGGCAATCAGCCCCTCATCCCGACGGGTCACCGCTCCGGGGGTGCGAGACGCGCCCCGGGTACCCGCGGCTCCGGGGGCGGAGAGCGGAGCCCCGGCGGAAAGCGGCCGAGAGCGGCGGGGGGCGGGGGCCGGACCGAGCAGATGCTTTCGCTAACGCCTGGGAAAAAAAAAAAAAAAAAAAAAAAAAAAATCGCTGTGAAAAAGTGGTGCTTGATGGACGTGAGATGCTCGTCGCCTCCCGCGCATTCATCCGCCGACACATGGCACTTGGGGCCGCAGTCAAAGGGAAGCGGTCCCCTGGTAGCAGCGCCCAGCTGGCGGAGCGGGGCGGAGCGGGGCCGCCCGCGTGAGAACGGCCCAGATGGGGCCGAGGGCATCGATCCCGGGCGGGCGGGGCGAGGGGAGCGGGGCGCGGCCCCGACGGGGCGGGAGGGGCGCGGGGCGCGGCGGGCAGGGCCGTGGTTGCCGGCAGAGGCGGGGAACATCCGTTTTATTTCTCCGTTTCTTCGTCCCGCAGCTCCGACCGCGCGGAGGTCGGAACGCGGCCGGGTGCGGGCAGGACCGCGGGGCGAGCCGAAGGGAGCGACCGCTCGGGGTAGAAGCGAACGCCGCTTCGTTAGCCCAAAAAGCGCGGTGGCGGCGGGCGGCCGTCAACGGGACCCGACGGACCCCGCGCGGCCACGCATCACCCCGCGGACACCTGCGGCGCCGGGCCCGGCCCTCCCCGCCTCGACCCCGGCCGGCAACGGGCAGGAACCCGCGGGTCGCGGACCCCGCGATCCGCCCCGTGCCGCGGCCCCCGCCCGGCCCCCGCCCCCCCCCCGCCTCGCACCTACCGCTGCAGCGCGTCCCGGGGCTCCGCGCGGGGCGCACCTTTACCGGGCGAAGGCGACGGCCGGCGGCGCCCCGCGCCCTCGCGGCTCTATAAAGGGGCGCGGACGCCCCGTCCGGCGGCGGCGCGGCGCGGGGGGGCCACGGGGGCGACGGCGGCGGAGGCGGCGATTGGCCGCGGCGCGCGGTGACGTGTGCGCGCGGTGCATAAGGCTGCGGCCGCGGGGCTGCCGGGAACATGCAGTGCGCCGAGCGCTGCCGGACGGCGCGGGCCGCGCGGGCAGCGCCGCTCCCCTCCGCGCTCCGGCCCCGCCGCGCCGCTGCGCCCCGCCGGGAGGCGCCCCAGTGCCGGCAGCGCCGGGAGATGCCGCGCGGGGACGCGGGGTAGCGCGGGGCACGCAGGTAGGAGCCGGGGACGGCGGGGGACGGCGAGCGGCAGAGCCGGGAACGGAGCGAACTGAGCGAACGGAGACGGGAGCCGCGCTCAGCGTCCCCCCGCGCACGGACGGCGGCCCGCTCCGCGCCGCTCGGGCCATGGCACCGCGCCTGCAGCCTGCGCCCGTCTGACGGCGGGCGGCCCGATGCCCTGCGCCCGTGCTGTCCTCGTCTTGTCGTCTTTTTTTTTTTTTTTTTTGTCTTTTTTTTTTTTTCTTTTTTCTTTTCCCTCTTTTAATTTCTGTTTGGGAAAAGCAGATGCACTTTGACTTCTGACTGCTCTACCTCAGACCTGAGAAAAAACTCGTCACCGTCAACCGCTTCTCGGCGGTTTTTTAATTATCGCCGTTTTCGTTTTATCTGAGCGCCGATTTCTGCGCCGCCGCGCGTCGGCCTCAGCCGGGCCGGGCCCGGAACCCGCGGCCCTGGGACAGCGACCGACCGAAGGCTTTTCTCCCTCCAGTCCTTTTTCTTCTCTTCCGCTTCTCCAAGGCTTCTTCTTCTTCTTTTTTTTTTTTTTTTTTTTTTTTTTTTAATAATAATAATAATAATAACAACATACACACACACATATATATATAAAAGCAAACCTACGCCGCTGTTGTTGTCGTCTTTTTATTTTTATTTCGATTTTTCGCTTGCCATCTGGGACGCCGATACCCCACTCTCAGAAATAACCAAAGACAATGGTTCACTGTGCGGGCTGCAAAAGGCCAATCTTGGACCGGTTCTTGTTGAATGTACTGGACAGGGCTTGGCATGTGAAGTGTGTTCAGTGCTGTGAATGTAAATGCAATTTGACAGAGAAATGCTTTTCGCGAGAAGGCAAGCTTTACTGCAAAAACGACTTCTTTCGGTAAGTACCGCAACCGCCGCCCGGAGCCGCGGCTCTTTTCCATCCGTTTGCCATCTTTTCCCGTCTGTTTATTTTTTCGCTCGCCGCAGAGCCCCGTTCTCACGGTGATGTCGGGCCGCGCTCCGACTCCCGCCGCTCCCTGCGCTTCCGAATCCGCCCGGAGCTGCGCGGAGCGATGCCGGGCCGTGGCCGCGCCTCGGGGAGTCGCGCTGCGGGGAATGCTGCGGGCCTGGGTCGCGGCCCGGTTGTGGGAGCTCCCGGCAGGGCCGAGTTCCGCAGAGCCGCCACAGAGCCCCGGTCCGGCCCGGCCGCTCCATCGCGCTGTGCACCAGCAGCGCAACGCGGAGCGGCCGCAGCCCGCGGGCGGCCCCGCACCTCCCGCTCCTACGCGGCCATCGCGGCGCCGAACTCCGCTCCCGTTTCTCGGTGCCGTTATCGGGGCACGGAGGGGAAAGCCACCCCGGCGTTGAATTAATTTCCCCGGCGTTTGTCCTTGGTCCCCATCACAGTGATTGCGTTTCCTTTTATCGTTTTGCAAGGTGTAAGTCGGGCGGGCATTCGTTGGGAAAAGGGAACGGTGCGGAAGGATGGTTTGGGGTTGGGTTTGTTTTGGTGTTTGGTTTGTTTTTTTTTTATGTGTGTGTGCACGCGTTTTTTATTTATTTACCGTGGTTTCGGTTTGGTTTTCGTTTGTTTCGGTTCGCTGCGGTTCCGGGGCCGCCGCTCTCCCATCGGGGTGGGCGCACGGCACTGCCCGCTCGCTGCCCCCGCACCCTCCCGACCCGCCGCCTCTCCCCGCAGGTGTTTCGGGACCAAGTGTGCGGGCTGTGCCCAGGGCATCTCCCCCAGCGACCTGGTCCGCAGGGCGCGGAGCAAAGTGTTCCACTTGAACTGTTTTACGTGTATGATGTGCAACAAGCAGCTCTCCACCGGCGAGGAGCTCTATATCATAGACGAAAACAAGTTCGTCTGCAAAGAAGATTACCTAAATAACAGCAATACTGCCAAAGAAAACAGCCTGCATTCAGGTGAGGGAGCGCGGGGCGGCGGCTCTCCCTCTCCCGTCCCTTCCCTTCTCCCCCCGCCCGGTTCCCGCACCCCCTCTGACTGTCGGCCTTTCGCTGCCCGCAGCTACCACCGGCAGTGACCCCAGCCTGTCCCCCGACTCCCAAGACCCCTCCCAGGACGACGCCAAGGACTCGGAAAGCGCCAACGTGTCCGACAAGGAGACGGGCAGCAACGAGAATGACGACCAGAACCTGGGGGCCAAGCGGCGGGGGCCCCGCACCACCATCAAAGCCAAACAGCTAGAGACTCTGAAGGCCGCCTTCGCGGCCACCCCCAAACCCACGCGGCACATCAGGGAGCAGCTGGCGCAGGAGACCGGCCTCAACATGCGCGTCATCCAGGTACCGGGCGCAGGCTGCCTTCCCGGCCCCGGGAGCTCGCGGCAAGAGGGTCCTAACGGGGCCGCCGACGGCAGCGGAATTAATAAGCGGAGATGTGAGGGGTTAATGCATAAATAAGGATGGCGATGCGCTGGAATTATTAAAAGGTTTATAAACCCGCAGCGCTGAGGGTAATGGGGGGTTGAAGGACCATTAAAGGCGAGGTTGGAGGGGAGATGCTCGGAGCGGGAGCCATCCGGTCGGGGCGCCGGGAAGGAGCGCGCTCGTTCCTGACCCGGCGCGGTTGCGCGTGGTTGCCGGTGCTGTGCCCGTGACCGACCCGCCTTTCCTCCCCCCGCCCACAGGTGTGGTTCCAGAACCGCCGCTCTAAGGAGCGCCGCATGAAGCAGCTGAGCGCGCTGGGCGCCCGTCGGCACGCCTTCTTCCGCAGCCCGCGCAGGATGCGGCCGCTGGTGGACCGCCTGGAGCCCGGCGAGCTGCTCCCCAACGGGCCCTTCTCCTTCTACGGAGGTGGGTACGCGGCTGCCGCTCTCCGTCCGGTGCGTTGGGGCGGGGCGGGCAGAGCGGCCGGGGACCGCGGCCGGGGGAACCGCAGCCGGGCGAACCGCGGCCGCCGCTCTCCCAGCCGCACACCGGGCCCGGCTCGCAGCGGGCGCTGCCTCAGCTCGGGGCCGCCGGGCGCGGTTCGCCGTCGCGGTTCCCGGCCGTGCCGTCGCGCCGCTCGCGGTGCGTCTCGGGGCGCCGCTGCCGATAGCGGTCCCGCAACCCCGCGCCCGCCGCGCCGCGCGTCTCATCCTCTCCGTTACGCTCGGGCGCTCGTCCTCCGCGCTACCGCCCATGTCTCTCCTTGCCGCCAGATTACCAGAGCGAGTACTACGGCCCCGGGGGCAACTACGAGTTCTTCCCGCAAGGCCCGCCCTCCTCGCAGGCGCAGACGCCGGTGGAGCTGCCGTTCGGGGCGGCGGGCGGACCGCCGGGCACGCCGCTGGGCGCGTTGGAGCATCCGCTGCCCGGGCACCACCCGCCCGGAGAGGCGCAGCGCTTCCCCGACATGCTGGCGCACCCCGCCGGGGACTCGCCCAGCCCCGAGCCCACCCTGCCCGGCTCCCTGCACTCCATGTCCGCGGAAGTGTTCGGCCCCAGTCCTCCGTTCTCCTCGATATCCGTCAACGGCGGTGCTAACTACGGCAATCACTTGTCACACCCACCAGAAATGAACGAAGCGGCCGTGTGGTAGCTTTAAGCGAACTGGGTCTAAGTAAGTGATGATCATCTAGTCTGCTTGTTGTTACGGTGTACAGAAATGAGTAAATGTAACATCTCTCCCGCCCTAAGACAATGGCACCTTGGGAACGAACTGCGCCCGGCGGCTCCGCGCTGCTGCAGAGCGGGACGATCCCGGTGTGCGTTTGTCACAGCCACGGGGACCTGCGTGTGCCATGACAAAGGAACTGGTGAAGCTGTACAGTAACGCGCCGTGGGATGGATGGATGAGTGTGGTTACCCCGTCGGATGTCATCCCGAGAGCCACAATCCTTAGAAACTCCTCATTTAAAAACAAACAATGATTGAATGGAAAGGGGGAAAAGCTGCAAGAACTCTGAGCGCTCCCGATAAGGATGGTTCTGGCGTTCCGCATTTCTTTGTTCATTTTTCTCTCTCAAAGTTCAACCACGAGAAACTCTTTAGCTTCAGCCATTGCAGCCTGCTGAATACCAGGTGGGACAACTTTTCTTTCTTTCTCCTTTTTTTTTCCTTTATTGTTGGGGTTTTTTTTTCTTTTCTTTTTTTTTTCTTTTTTCGGTGGTTGTTTTCTTCTTTTGTTTCCCTCCCCAAATAACAAATGCTAAATGTTGAGCCCTCGGCACCAACTCTTCTACCTTCACAACGCTACGCATACAAAACCTCCTCATCATAGCAAAGGTCGCCAACGGACCTCTAAGGCGAATGACTTGAAAAGAAAAAATAAAAAAAACAACAAAAAAAAAAACAAAAACAAAAACAAAAAGCAAACGAACAAAAAGCATTCTACCTTCACAAAGAGAGCAAAGCGAAACGAAAAGACTCTATTGAACTAAAACAGTCAACTGTTTACGTCTAACGTTAAATTCAGGAGCTCGATGTTTTACTAACAAATCCTGTTTTAGAACCTCTTGTTCGAAAGCAAAATATTTTGAGCAGCCAACCAAAATAGTTCCTTTTCTTTTCTGTAGATGTACAAAGCGATCGCAGGGCTTGTGGTTCACTGTGCTAGTTTGTCAAAGGTGTTGTTTACAGAAGGCAAAGAGAAACCCGCGAATCCCAGACCGTTGCCAAATAAAGGGAATCTATAGCACAAATACTGTCAGGTGCTCCGCACCAGCAACCCGGAGAGGCGTTTCCAAATGTCACAAGGTTAAAACCAGAACAGAACGAACATCTTTGCTAATTTTTAGTCCTGTTGAACATTCATGGAATTGTTAATATGACTTATATAGACCCACACAGGTTTTATTTTTGTGTCTTTAAAATGAAAGTCCAAAATATTTAAATTTTATGGTCAAATATGCAGTCGACAGCTGCTACTTTTTTCTTTATATATTAAATTTCTCATATGTCTTTTATTGTTCTAATAAACCTAAGCTTGTGTGACCTCCAGTGCATATTAGACCATTCACTGTATGAAAGAAAACATGTTGGATAAAATTTGTGCGTTTTTAATAAAATTAGAAAATGGGATGTTTAGATAAGTGGTGTTTCATTGGGTGTCTGAGAAACCAAAGCAGCCCCGGGAGAGCCGTGCGTGCAGCTCAGTGCCCTGCAGAGCCCAGCAGCGCCGCTCCGCGCGTTGCTCAGCCGGCGGGATGGGGTGGAACCGGGCTGTGCTGAGGGCGAGCACTGAGTGCTCAGTAACAAAAGTGTTTGAGCAGCAGCAAAAGCGTGCGGATCTGTGCTTGTAATTGCTGAGAGGTCATTCTGTTTTTTCCTTCTTTTTTTTTTGTTTGTAATTGGCTGGTCTGCGAAGCAGCAAATCCTCAGCGTGGTTATTCTGTTCTTATTTCGGAGCTGACAAGGACTCGATCGTTTGATGTTGCAGTATTTGTGGAGCGCTCGGCAGGGTTTGGCAGGAGAAGCACGCGGATTTTCTGGGACAGAAATGAACCAAAGGAGGATTTCCTGCAGCCCGGAGCCGCGCAGGTGTGGCGGTTCTGTTACGGCTCCCTGCAGCAGTCCTGCAGCTCGGGCGGCGTTGGAGGGTTCGCTTCGGCTCTGCAGCATCGCAGCTCAGCGCAGCGCCTTCCACCCGCTGCGATAATGGGATGGCGGGGCGGTAATTGCGTCTTTCCCTTCATCTCTCTGCTAATTGTGATTCCGTCGGGCTTCTGTTTTATTTTCTGTCGGCGCGGAAATTCGCTGTGAGGCGCGGATTTCTCCGCTCTCAGCACTTGGGCGCTTTCTCTCTTTGCTCTGAACTCGCGATGCTCTCAAGTTGTGCGATCTGTAATTTCAGTGGCAGTTTTGCTCCCCACGCCGTTGCTGTGCCCCCGTCCGGGTGAAGTAATGGTTCACCTTCAACACAAAACGTCTTTATATATATATAAATATATATCCTATAAAGACAAAAAGCAGCAGGGATCCATTGGTAGTGTTTCTAAACAGTTTATTAAAGGCAGGGAGACTTCTTAACCTCGAGGCTCAGCGCCTGGCTCATCCATTTGCCTTTTGTATCCTTGCCGTGATTTTTCCCTCTGTTTTGCATTTACATGAGGATACAAGGGGTAATCGCTTCATTACAAACTTTTACTTCTCTGTGCAAACGCTGTTTATAAATACTGCTATTTGTGCTACCGGTCTGTGCTGCTGTTTTATTGTCCAATCAATTATTTTAAACGAGGATCTCATTTTGCAGAAATCATGTCTGCCAACTCGTTTTTTCCCTTTTTATTTTTTTTCTCCTTTTTTTTTCTTTTTTTTCTTTTTTTTTTCCCCCCTGCACCAGGATGTTCGTACGGTTTATTCATGCTAATTTAGGCAGGGATGTGATGTGGTTCAGTTTAGGTCACCGGTTTCTAAAGGGACGCAGGAGAGCCTGCCTTGTTCCCCACGCTGCTGCTCGCTCTCGGAGCAGCTCTGCCATCACAAGGAGCCAACCCAGCAGTGGTTCCCATGCTCAAAGCCAAACGTGCCCATCACGGCTCCCGGGTTGCAGCGTGGAGGCCCCAGCCCTTTGCAGATTTGAATTCTGTGCTCTTCAGAGCGGCGCTGGGTGTTTCTGAGGACCCTAATCCAGCAACAATCGCAGAGTCAAAACTCCTTTTGAAATCATTGTGGCGTCGGGTTCTTGTAAGTCCTCGTTTACAAGAGCGTTTCCATTGACTTCAGTAGCATTACTTGCGTGAATGGAGGGCTGCAGGAGGAGGCCCTCGGAACACATGTGCTGCTTGGAGGGCTTTTAGTGCGCATATTAATTCTTCCACTGCAGCGAGGCGGCCGTGCCACGTCCATGGCTGTGTGCGTGCAACGTGCTTCCCAAAGTGCGTTCAGAATAATGGCTCTGATCTTTTCTCCCTCGGCTGCTCCTGGTTTTGGTGCCGTCCCCCCCCAGCAGAGCGCGGTGCCGTGGGGCTGCTCGGTGCCCACACTGCAGAGCTGCCCCGGGGAGCGGGACGTCCTTTGGCACGGACAGGGATCTCTGCATACATGGGCGACGCTGAAGGTTTTGCAATCCCACACGTAGGACTGTACTGCTTTATTAGGAAAAAGGACACTGGGAAGACATTGTGAGTATTATTCATGTTGAGCTCATTTATTTGAAGGAGATACTTTGCAGGATAAAGCGCCTTTAGAATGCAGTGGGTTCACAGCACTCAGAAGCGCCGCTTCGGCTCCTCTCTGCCCTCCGTGCTGCTCTCTTTCCCATTCCCACTTTGCTCAGGCCCTGGCGTGGGGAGCGGGAGGGGATTTGTAAAGCCGTGCACCCCGAGAGTAGGAACGTATTCAAACTCAGATTTGAGGCCAAATGGTGTATATTATTTTAATGCGTGTATTTGTACCCAGGCGCTGAGTGACGGGTGCATGATACCAATCTATAAATAAATATAATTTACAAGTATCAGCGGTGATTTACATGCTCCTGCTATTCTAGGAAGTGGCCTAGAGTTTTTCCCCGAGCAGGAATGTTGTGTTTAAGCCTTGCATGCTCATACATACTAAATATAAGCAATCAGTCTGGCTTTCTGTTCCCATCCCAGCATACAGACTAAGGTATACTTTCCTCTCTGTTCAGCACAATCGACCGCTGCATATCTGTAGGGCCGAGGCAGATCACAGAGGTGCTTTTATTTATGTCTGTGCTCTGTATTCCAGATGACCACAAGATATTCCTGAAGTTCTAACTAAAATTAATGGGACCATTAAAGAAATATATTTTGAGTACGAATCCATTTGGGATTGCTGTCTGCCTCTTTCAAAACGGTATTTGTTGTGCTTTCAGTCACAGACCCGGCTTACGACGCCGAGTTGCTTGTTGTCTGGAGAGCTTTTCATTCATTAATGGGAGGAAGGGCAGCCCTGCGTTGTGTGGCTGCTGGGCAGGAGTGTGCCGGCCACACGGCAGCCCCAGAAGGGCATTCTCACCAACTGCACTGTGCTTTACCCACCTAATCCCTAAGCTGGCTGCTGCCTTGCTCCCATTGCACACATCCTCAGTGCAGAGGGGCATCACAGACCCGAGCTCAGGGCTGTGTGTGCGCTCTGATGGTGCTCGGTGCACTCTTTGGGCAGCGTTACTGGGAGCTGTGAGAACTGGATTGATGTCCTGCTTGGTTTCAGTACCAACGTGCTTCCTGCAGAACGGCCGCTGTTGGAGAGGCTGATGGTGTCTCACTGTGTTTGGCACTCACTGCTCAGCTCCGTTAACGGGACGGCGGTGGTTCGAGGGCCGGAGCAGTGCCTGTGTGAGAGCTGCAGCCACACGTGTTGGGTGCGGGGAGAGGTGGAGGGGGAACCTCAGGACAGAAGCTGCTCCGTGGGGCTGGGCTGTGTGTGCTGAGGTTTCCTGCTGCTCCAGAGAGCACACACACGTGGTTCACCCTGGGAGATTTCTCTGGGGCGAAAAAGAGGTTTTTGCTCCATCTGAAAAGGTTCTGTGGCTGTCGTTGAGTGGCCTTAAAATTCCTGTCTGCTAGGAGCATCCTCAGTCCGTGTGTCTATGCGGATAAGCTGTATTCATCATGTTTTTAGGTGTAAGAACAATTAAGAGTTGATCAAATCTTGGAAACAGTTGTGGTTTTTGACTGAATGATCATTAGGGATATTGGAAATACTCAAATAAATACGAAGTACATTAATAAATTCATCTGTAAGTCAAAACAAATATTTATAGGGAGAGATTTTTATTACAGACGTCTAAATTCGCTGCAATGTATTTCCTTGTAGCAGATGCGTTTGGTGTGAGCTCTTTCCTTCTTCCCCCCATCTCCTTCCTCTTCTTTTTCTCCTTTTTCACCGACGAATCAATCGCTGATAGAAAAAGAACATCTAAGAATGAAATAGTGCGGCAAAAACGAGAAAAGGACGGATTGGAAAATGACACTGGCTTGCCAAAATGTAGGAAAGAGCAGCTCTGTGCTGGCTGGTGGCCGTGCTGGGGCACACAGCATCCGTGGATGGGTCACATCCTGCTGCTGCCAATGCCACACAGGGCGTGTGGGTGCTGCTGCTGCGTGGGTCTCCCGGAGCACTGGGACGGATGGCTGCTTTTCTTTATAGACGTATTTAAGAAATGCACTGAAAGAAAAAGAGGATTTCTGTGAGTTACATGTGAGGGTACAGACACAGCAGTGTGAGCCCTTCGCTGCCAGAGCTGCCTCTGAATCGGGCAGTTTCCTGGAAGATGAAATGTTCCACCAATACGTGGGAGAAATGGAAAGTTCTGCTTGTAGTGCAAAAGTCCCTGTGACGTGCGTGGGGTCTGTTCCCCTTTTAGCAGATAAGCGTGTAAATGAAAAGTAAAATGAAAAGCAAGCATGCCGAAGAAACGATGTCGGGTAGTTTGATGGCTCCTGCCTGTAGCTTCTAAGCTTGGAGGGCTTGGTGGGATGCACTGCCTTGCAGGAACAGGCTTTTGTGATGGTCTGAAATTAAAGTGTTTGGATGTCGTGTTTGTCCGAAAAATGGTTATGAACCAAATCCACAGCAGCGTGATTTGAGGGCACACGAACCAGAAATTAAAACTGAGTCTGAGAGCCTGGTTTAATGACCCCACTAAGTGGAAGGCAAAAAGAGAGAGAATGGACTGTGAAGAAGGAGCCTGTGCAGGTGGAACATTTCAACAACTCCGGACTTTAATACCACAGATTCTGCTTGATGTCCTTATCTGAAGCCAATCTTTTGCTTACAGAAGTCATGCAACTCGCTGTGCATTGCTTAGGGATTGCACTGGGCACGTTCTGATGAAGCACTGCCTTTGTTGAGGGGGGATTTATCATTTGTTGGGGTTGGGTCGGAAACATCCCTTCTTCATCCATGAAGTGCAGAGCTTTGAAAATGCAATTATGCATGGGGCAATCACCAGTGCTTCTGTGGTTGGCTGAGTCCGTCCCAGGAGCTGCTCAGGTAAGCATTTGTTTCTGCTCCTTCACTTCCTCTGGATTTATTTCTCCTGCCTTTGTTTGTAACGGCATCTTTTAGTCTGGAAACAACACGGCTGTGAACTTGGAGGGGAAATAAAGCAAAGGTGGTTTGCATCTTCTGCTTTGGAAATCTGTGCGTAACAATTGTGGAAGAGCCTTAATTTCACATCACAGCAGCAACAAGCAAACCCACCTAAAATACAGTGCAGAGCATTAGAGTCACTCATGGTCACTCAGACCATGAGAAAATAAATACAAAATAAAGCTGAAATGGAATCGTAATATTTGACCGCATAAAATCCAAGGCTTTTGTTTGTAATGATAACGTGCATTTCCAGCGAGCATTTCTTTTTACATAACTTGAGATGCAGTCCTCACAGCAGACGGTACTGCAGGGGTTGCTAAGGAGCCGTAGGGCACCGGGGAGGGGGAAAAGGGGCCAAGTGCCGCCCGAGCTCCTCCTGCGGGTGCCGTGCGGGCCGGCAGGGAACGGGAGCCGCCGGGCCCGTAATTAATGATATTCCTCTGCCCTCTGTAGGACGAGCGGCTGCACTGAACGCTCCTGCTTCGGGGGAACCAAAGTGGATCCCGGAGCCGTGGAGAAGCGCCGGGCCTGGCCTGAGCCTTCCTGTGCTCTGATTAGAATGCATGTCGGGATTAATCTTTGTAACGTTCAGAAGCAGATAAGCAGTGAGGGAGAGCCGGGTGCTGGCAGGAAGGGGACGAGTGAACCGCCTGCTTGATGCAGTTGAACTTTGCAGCTTGCTGCTAGCAGCATCACAAACCCACCGGTGCCACCACAAACATGGGGTCAAAACAGACCTCATGGGGCCCTTCCTGCGCGGGTGGGACATTTGGGCCCCCGTCTGCAGCTCACGTTTGAGAAGCCAATTTGGGTCCATTCTCACTCTGTACAAGAGGTGCACCGTCCTCTATTCCCAGCCACCATTTCCAGTTGTGTTTGGGGGCTGGGAGGGGGTTCCCAGCCTCTCATGGGGTCGCTCATCCCTCACTGCTTTGCTGGGGTCCCGCATAGAGGTGTGGGATGCAGCACAGGTGTGGGCAGTGCTCCACAGCTCACATGGCAGCACTATGCAGGTATGTGCTGATTGGGGGGGAAAGAAGAATAGTAGCATAGTGAGTTATATGAGACAGCTGTGCGTAAGAGCCCGTCATTCTCTGCTTTCCAGCTCTGGAGCACTCGGCACGTATGAATTCTCACGACACGCTTGCGTAGGGTGAGCGTTCTCCCCGTTGTAGCGGTGGAGGACAGCCGGGCCCACCGGAGGGCTCGGATGGTGGATTTCGGTTTTTTTATGGCGGTTGTTTCCTCTCGAACCACCGCGCGCAATTTAACGCAGACAAAAGACGAGGGGCGCGAGACGCGCCGCTCCTGCGCGCGGAGCGCTTAGGCCACGCCCCCACTGAGGCACCGCCCACATCCAGACCACGCCCCTTCGAGGCCACGCCTACTCAAGACCCCGCCCCTACCGGACCCTGCGCGCCGCCAGACCCCGCCCCCCTCCGCTCGGGAAGATGGCGGCGCCCTTAGCGCAGCAGCTGGAGGAGCTGCTCAACCCCCGGCCCGACCTGCGAGACCCCGAGGACGACGCGGAGGAAGGTGAGAGGGGATCGGAGAAGGGTTCCGTGCGGCCGGGGCCGGGCCGGAGCCGGGGCCGGCTAGGGGGGCCGCCGTTTGGGGCCCGCACGTGGCGGCGTGGAGCCTCAGCCGCTGCCGCCGCCGTGGGGGATGGGGCGGCTCGGGCCGGAGTGCCGCCCCGCTGTGCCTCGACCCGCAGCGCTGCGGGCTGGAAGCCCCGGGCGGGCACACGGCTCTGCACGCAGCCACGCGGCGCTCCGCGAGCTCAGCGTCCAGCCGCGGCTCCGCGCGGGCTCTGCTGCAGGCCGGGACCGAATCCCGTTGGAAAGTTCTAGAAAAGCGGCCCCAGAAGCGTCCATCGGAGCCGGGCGGGCCCTGCTGAGCACCTGCCGCTCTCCGTGCTGGCGGGCGGGGGAAGCGGCGCTTCGGAACAGCGGGGAGGTACGAGAAGAGCAATAATTGCAGTGCGGTTGTTTTCTCTCTTTAGCCGTCCTGAAATGTTTGTGCATTTATGTGATTCGGGTATATGGGCAGAGGTTAAAGTGTGTCGGAATCGCAGTTTTTCTCTTTGACTCGTTAAACACAAAGTGAAGGCGTTCAGTGCTGTGAGTCCTGGGCACCACACTGCTCCCGAAGCGCCCCGTGAAGGGCAGGGCTTCACCTGCACACAGCTTGCTGTGTGCTCACTAAAAGGAAGAGGAGATGGGGAGAAAGGTGTGAATGCAGGCAGTGCTCGTTCAAAATAAAGCACTGCCATCCACCTCACCTTTACAGCGTGTTTTTGTTTGTAGAGGCGCGAGGAGTTTAGAGGCGCAGGAGGATGGCTGCTTTCTGCAGCTGCTTCTGGCCTGGAATTCAGTTTGGTTTAGACAACCTTCCTCCATTTTTATTTCTTTTCCTGTAGCTACAGTTGCTAAAGTGATTGACAGGTTTGAGGATGAGACTGCAGATGACATTTTACCTGTTGGTAATATACGGAAAAAAGCTTCGGCCTCCCTCTTAGAAGCTGATAAAAGGTACAGTGGAAAAGCAACATCTCGCAAAGCCTTGCAGGAAGAGCTCTGGGGAGATGCTCTGTCTGAAGAAGGATCTGGTAAGAAATCTTATTTCTTTACGCTTTTAATTACACTGTTTATAATTTTAGCATGCCAGACCGAATTAGGACCGTCTCAACTGAGGTGAGGAACTTTAAATCCTTGGCAGAGGTTTGTAAAAAGGTACAAATAAGTTGGACGTCTTTTTGGAGTGCCCTCCTGAAATTCAGGCCATTTTGACCATAAGGAAAAGGAGATCCCCAAAAGAGGGCTGCTGCTTCAGGGTGAGAGGGGCTGTGAATATCTCTGAGCCCTGGCTGAATGCTGTGTGGAGGGAAAGAAGTAGCTGCCATTTTAAGGCCCGTAGATCTTGAGGACTGCAAGTGTATCTTATTTTAAAGATATGTAAAGCAAATTGTGACCACCTAGTCTGATTACTGTGTCACTAATTATTGTCACAGAAGATGAGAGTTGAGATCTTTTCCTGGATATAATCTCTTTTTTTTTTTTTTCACTAATTGGTCAAAACAAAAAGTAAAACAGAGTTAGCTGCTCAGATCAATAGCCATTGTTGGTGCATGCTGCAGAGTGACAGATCTTTTTTCTCTTTGAATTAATAGCTGAAGAAACCTTAGATATGTGGTACAGTGGCAGTGAAGATTCAGAAGACAATGGCAGCTTGGGCAGTAAAACAGAGGAGCAGGCCAGCAGTGCTGGCAGTGACCAGGAGGATAATATGGAAGATGATGGAGAGAGAGGTTCCTCTGCCAAAGCACCAAAGTTCAGTTTCCAGAATGTCACGGACTTTGAGAAATTTGCAGAGGGGATGGATGACATTGGGAGCAGTGATGGAGAAGATGAAGATGATGCCAGCATGGAAGAAGGAAGTGATGATGAGAAATATGAGGGGGAAGACCATGACCACATAAAAGACACCAATGACAACGAGGATGACGGGGGGGTGATGACGTTCTCAAAGGGACAAGCAAGTGATGAGGTGGAAAAAGGAAAAGCGGTGAAGAATCAGCTAGGTTAGTGCATGTTTACTGTGTGTTTTGATGAGATTCACCTTGCTGACACTACAGATGCTGCCCATGCTAGAGGAGGCACTGCAGCACGTTAACTTGCTAAGTTGCAGCAGCCCATGTCATTTGCAGATGTTGCACTAAATGTGCTGTGCATGCTGGTGTCACTATTCCTATAAAATGTAATGTTATGGAGTGTATCTGCTGGCTTAATTGAACCTGCACTAAATATACTTGTAGTTTGGGTGGGAAGGGGGACTTTACATTGTTAGTTCTGTGCTGTGGTGCTGTGCTGTTTTTCTTCAAATGCTGAAGTTTCTTCCAGTTTATTCAGTCAAATTACCAGCGTCCATTTGCAAGTAATTCTTCTAACCAGAGAAGCAAACAGGATTTTTGTGATTCTCAGGGTTGTGGTCAGGATCACCAATAGGATGGGGAAGGGGTGGTGCTTTGTCTTGTGAAATGAAATAACTTTTTTTTTTCTGTCCCTTTTCTCTTATGAAGCGTTGTGGGATCAGATCTTGGAAGGCAGAATCAAGATGCAGAAGGCACTTGTAATAGCCAACCGGCTTCCTCAGCCAGATACTTTCCCCCTTTTCAGAAAGGAAGGTGGACAGGAATTCGACAGTGCTGTGGAGAGCTGTAAGAATTCTTCAAACTTCTTACTTTGTGTAGAGTCTGCTGTATAGCCCATGTGTTTTTACCTGTGAGAGAACATTGATAGGGAAGTGAGGGTTTGAGTTATGTATGTTTGTAATATTAGCTGTCAGTTTATATTGCCTTAATTGTTAATTAGTGTATGGGAGCTGCTGAGTCACAGCCTGGACCACTGATTGAGCACCTGGAGAAGGGAGCCAGTCAGCCTTGGGAGCACAGGTGGAGGCAATTCATCTGTGCAACCAGGAGGGGAGGAGCCAGGCTCCACTCCTCTTAAATCTCATTTAAGAGCTGACTACCACTGAGGAAGGATCTCTAGTAAGATCTTTGTGGAATACTTCTGCAAGTGTAGATCTTCAGAGAGAGGTGAGCATCCTTCTTTTTGAAACAGCTTCTCCTTGTGCTGGTCCTGCTGCTGTTATGATTAGGTGCTGTGCAAGCATGAAGTATTTCTGACCTCAGACCAAGAAAATGTCTCCCATCACCCATGTCTGTGTCTGTCTAATTGTTCTCTGGCAGCCTGTGTTGTCACTTATGTGAAGTTGGTGAGCCTCAGCTTGGGTCCTGCTGCTGCTTCTACTTTTTGTGGGTACTGAAGTTCATTTATCTCTGTTGGATGTAAGGAATAACTGGCTTGGTTATCAGTGCTCAGTGAGGAGTTGGGGCGCTGTTTTGTCCTGAGACACTGTGTAGATGCTGGGTCTGTGATTGCAGGGATTTGTCCTAACCAGGAGTAATGCAGCACAAAGGAGAGGGCCTGTGCTGTCAAAGCAACAGCAAATACCATTTCAGTTTGGAGTTGCTTCAGATGTTTGGTTTTTAGGGTCACTATTAATGATACTGATCTGATGAGACTTGTAGTAGATTCTCCAATATGGCAAATACCTGCATGTTCCAGCTGATAAACACAAAGTATTCAACTTTAGTGCATTGTGGATCTGTTTAATTTATTAATGCTTCAGTTTGTATGTGCAACACTGATACCAGTGTGTTTGAGAGACTTTGACCTAGGCTGGCACAAGTTATCTTAAAACTGCATTAAGAACTTCTGCTGTGAATCCAGCCTGACCCTGGGCCTTGCCCCTGTGCCAGGCTTTGACTATTATCTTACAGCTCACACCTGATCTGAGCATGCAGCTAATCAGCTTATCTGGAGTTATAGCAGGTGGGGCTCTTTGTTTTAAAGTTAACTCAGCTGCTTTAAATGAAGTGATTAAGGAAAAGAAGGTGAGCTCCCAGCAATACTAAGCTGACCTTTCAGTAAAACGCATGTTATTAATGTGTTTAATGAGATGCATTACAAACTGCACTGAGCACCATGTTTCATTACAGGTCTAAAATGCAATATCATTAAAGACCTTTAACAGAAACAATGGTTGACATTTTGATATTTCCCATAAGCAAAATACATCCAGGAACACGTAGTGTAATACCATGCACAGAACAGCAGAGAGGTTAATCTGCCAGTTGTCCAGAACGTTAAAGGAAAATCTGTGTAATAGCTGCACTGTGATCCCCTGCCCATCCTGTTTCCACAATCCAGACAGGAAAGTCGCAGCAGTTTGCTCTGCTGTTCCAGGTGATCTGTATTCAGGTTCCAGGCTGAGTGGGGAGGCAGCAGAACAACCCACCTGGGTGGCGTTAGCAGGGAACATGCCTGGGCTGATGGGTGAGGAGTAAGGAGCTCAGGAACATTGTGATGCTGCTGTGTTTGTTTGTTGTAGCATTTGCTGGTGTTCTCTAAGGGTCTGAGTTTAAACTTCTTTTTATATTTTTTAAATACAGTCTGTAATTGTACAGTAAAGTAGGTTACAGCAGCTGTTCTGCACTGTTGTCCAAGCAGATATTTCTCTGTTCTGCAGAGGTGCTCGTACCAGAAGTTGGGAAGTGCCAAGCATGAAACATGAGGCACAACTTTGTGTGCACAGGTTTTAGGAGAGTCTAGGGACGCAGTGGGTGACAGTGACCAATTTCTCCCCATCTTGGTGGTGCTGGGCCCTGTGAGGGATCTGGGATGTTCCAACTCAGCAGGGGCTTTGCCCAGCACGTCTGAGCTGTGGCATGGTTTCTGTTAGGGAGCTCAGCACTGTGAAACCTTAGTTTCAGTGAGTGAAATTAAGTCAATTAAAAAAAAGAAATACTTATATTGTAATCTGCTTAAAGCTTTTCTTGACGGACCTTGATTTAGGAGGGCAGTCTCACTTTTCATCAGTCAGCTTCCAGAAGGAGCTCTGATTGAGAGCTTTGGTGGGTTCTATACAAATAAGCTTCTAGAAATTGGATTTAATAGAAATGAACTTCTGGAAACTCAATTCTGAAGAGTGAGGTGGTGGGCTGGGTGTACATCTCTGCACTCCTGCATTCTCCTCTCAGTTGTTACCAGCTTGTGGGCAGGAGTCTGTTCTCCAGACAGGAAAAAAATGAAAGAATTGGGCACAAGAAGGTTTAAAGATGAATCATTTTATCATGGGTTTAAGGCAAGGCTTTGTGAATGCTGGATGTTGAGCTTGTTCCATTGCACGTAGCATGCTTCAGACTCGGATGGGATTTAAGATAATCATGACATTGACACTGTTTTGGAATGGATGATCCTCTCCTTTCAGGGAAGCCTCAGCAATTCCCTCCAAATCCACAAAATAAATCTGGCATGCTTTCATGATCTCCTCTGAATGAGAGGAAATGATCTGGTGTGTGAAGCTGCCCGAAGTCCTGGCTCTGTGGTAGGAGTGCTGCAGGCTGTAGGCACACAGGTCTCTTACACCTCTTTCAGAGCTTCCCTAGCAAGCTTTTGGTGTTATCCAAAGCCCTTCCGTTGCTTGTGAAGGTTCTGCTCTCTGCCTGTAGGAAGGATGAGTTTGTTGAGGTGGAAAACAGCCCTCCTCTATTTGCCTTGCTGGCGTGTCCCACTTGTGACAGCTCTTTGTGCAGCTGGTGGTGGCAGCGAGGCTCCCCAGGGACTGACTGATGGTGTTAAAGAGCAGGCAGCAATGATGTACGTGCTTTTGCAGTTTTACAGCCAAACCTGAGCAAAAATGGTAAGGTCACACGTGTTTCCCAAATTCTGAGGTTGCATTTTAGGAAAAACTCAGATGTTTAATTTATTATTTTTGTAATCTTTTATGGAAACAAAACAAAAAAAAGACGTACCTTGGACAATCTTGGATTCCTGAGATCTCAGGTTCTGGTGGATGATTTACTGCAAAATTGCTTATAAATTGAAGTAGAAAATGTTTTGCAGACCTGGCAGCTTTCAGGCTTCACACCCATTTGTCACCCAGCATTTCCCTTTGTGTATAGAACAAGAATTAATTAGGCTGCGCTGCAGGAAAAGTTTATGGCCATAATTTATATAGGATGAATTCCTGTTTAAAGAGACAGCATTGCTTTGTTTGCACCGTGTTACTTCTTTTTTCCTAATCTTTAATTATATCCCAGATTATTTTTTTTTTTTTCAATCCTCCTTTTTACCTGCACATGGCAGCTGTGCCCGTGCAGCTCGTGTTTCTTCCTGCTTTGCATCCATGGAGAGAGTCGGGGAGCTCTCTTAATACCAAAACCACGGTGGCTGTGCTCTGGAGGCAGTGCAAATTGTGAATGCACTGCACACGTGAGCTCCCACAGCTCGTGTTTGTGAGGTGCTGCTGCCCAGGGCAGTCTGTTTCTCCAAGATACGTTTGTATTCTCTCACACCGTATCTCCTAGTCTGGTCCAGGGCTTGAGATGTTGCCTCCATTTGGGGTCTTGCACGTTCAATTAATGTTTTTCATAATCAATGCAAGTCAGAATTTGCAATCTGCTCCTGATTTGCACATTAAAGAGACCCATTAATTAAAAATTCCAATCCCTGGCATGTTCCCGCAGGATCCTTGCATTATTTACATAGAAAAAGAGTGCAAGGTGCAAGTTTCTGTGCTGTGTCTCTGCGCAGATTGCATGCTTGCCATTCATGTTTCTGTGTATGCTTTCAGGCAGGAGGAAGGTTGGAAGTAGATGTTGTGAAAATGGCACAAAAATTACCTCAAGGGCAGGAAGGAGTCGGGGCAGAGGTGGAAGCCGCGCTGGTGAAGCTGTATCCAGTGTCAGGAATTAAACAGTGCCGAGGTTTGGATCTCATTCAGTAACAAAAAGCCACAGCTAGCTCTGGGGAGGGGGGCAAGCAGAGCTGTAGACAAGATCTCTTGCTCTCAGCAAAGGCCAGGAGGTGGGGTTGCTCTGTTGTTGTAACTCCTTTCTCTTTACAGTCCTGGTTAAAAATACCTGGGGATGTGACAGTGATGCTTTGTGATTCACTAACAATAATGGGGATAATGCGTGATCTTCAATTTTTAGTTGGAGAGAAAGCTAAGTAAGAACGTACAGAAACTCATGTGGGTCTCTTGCAGGTGGCAAGATGCTGATGCACACTGGAAGACTTAAAGGTGATCACTATTTTTTCGTACGCATGTCCTTTCACTTGCCTGCAGTTAGGCAGCTCCATGAAATAGAAACTCCCAGCTAAATGGTGTTTTTTTGTTTTTAACTTTGGCTCTGTCAATGGGCTGAGAGGAAATACCAGACTGTGGGTTTCTTCAGTGTGAGTCCTGAAGAAATGGCAGAACACAGCTGTGATGGGTAGCAGGCAGGGCCTGTGAGAGTGGGTTGGCTCACGAGAGGAGCAGAAGTGGTGACAGTGCATCTTAACTGTTGTTCACACTTCGAGTAACTTCTGCACAGCCCCGCGAAGATTGGTGATCAATAAGAAAATCTGAATAAAGTGAATCAGATTAAAATGTGTGTATTTAAAAAAGCGACCCACGATGTAACTCCCCTGTGCTTGCAAGGCTGTTATCACCAAAGCTGCCTGGGTTATTAATGTGTTAGTGGAGCAGCAGCTCCTCCTGGCAGCAGCCCGAGTTGCTCAGCGCAGTGCCTGAGTGGCTCCTAATGGTTACAGCATTGCGTGTTTTTTAAATTCTCCTTTAAATTCTGCTGGAACTTGTGTGTCTCTTCCCAGCTCGCGGTGATATCTGAGCTTTGATTTGTATTGTCTGTAGTCAACTTTATCTTCTTTTCCTGGTCATGATGGTGTTTTCTCTGGCATGGTGCCCACGCACAGCTCCAGCGCTCCTTGTGCTCAGGGGCAGTGCGTAACCCAGAGAGAAGCCCAGTTTCCTCATACTTAGAGCACTGGTATGCTGTCCCCTTCAGTATCTCTCCCAAAGAGCAGTGTGGCACGTTCACACACAGAGATGAGCACTGAAGGGTGCAATTTAGTTGTAGTTCATTGACAAGTAGGGCTAAAAGGTGCACTAACAAAGCTTGGTGGTGCTTGCCTGGAGCTGCACAGCACTATCTGGGAACCTCTGGGAAAAGGAGGTGCTGACTTTTTGTTGCAAAGTGTTGTAGTCCAGTCCAAACATTTCACCTCTCTTAGAAATGTCTCAGTTTCTGGGATGGAGTGAGGTTGTGTTTGTAGTGGGTGCAAAGGGCTGTGATGGCCTTGGGGCTCCGTGGACCTTTATAACGGTGGCCTGTGTTGGACTCCTGGTTCCTAGGGTTGGTTTGCTGCTCCGCTGACAGCTATTTGGCTTGTGACTGAGTGGAGCCCATCGGTGGAGAAGGCCTCTGAATGATGAGATAGAGAATCCCACTTGCATTGAAGACAGTGGGAAAGATTCAGTTTGCTTTCTCTGTAGTTGATCTTACGTTCACAATGATTCCCCATCTTTAAAACATATTTTTATTTACTATCCGTGTAAGTCATGTCCAAGAAGTCGATTAAGTATTGGCTAACCTGAATAATCATGGAATCATAGAGTGTTTGGGTTAGAAGGGGCATTAAATAACACCTAGTTCCAATTCCCCTGCCACAAGAAGGGTCACCAGTCACAAAATCGGGTAAGATGAAGGCTAAATCAAGATAAGATTCCAGAGAAACTGTCACCTTTCCTGTACAAGAGGACATGTTTGGCAGGAGGTCGTCTTCTCACTGCGCAGCACAATGCGTCACCCCCGCCTTGTCACTTTGCACACCTGGTTATAGGGAAAAGATGCCATGTGAAATGTGCTTTATCAGCATGAGCTTGGGATTTCTCAGAGAAGCCTGCAGGAATCAGCTGCCAATGATTTTAGTCAGAATTTTGTTATCATCTCAATTCATGGATCACTCTCAAAGCTGAGATGTAGCCCATACGTACGTCTGGAGCAGATAATGCTGTGATACAGTGCAAGGTGGGTGTCACAGGGCTGCAGGGGGAGGGATTGAGGCACAGGCAGATTATGTGGTTTCCAGTTACAGGATTAATTGGTGCTAGGCGAGATCATGGGCTTAAATATATTCTTGCTTTGAAGATTTTGCTGGGAGCCTGCACAAATGTGTGACAGCGGCACTGAGTTTCAAGCCTGAGTGTAAATTATCATGATCAGATCTAGCCCAGTTAACACTGGTAGTTCATTTTAATTGAATTGTATTAGTCTAGACACTTTATGAATACAAAAGCATCGTGCTTGTTGGTTCATTAGGTGGTGAGTTTGGTTTTAAATAGGTGTGGATGCAGGTATCCCCAGATTTCACCTTTCTCTCTGATCCAGTGAAGAATCTGTTCAACTCTGTGTGGGACCGAGCCAAAGCCTGGTGATGTTAATAAGGACTTTACTCTCAACTGAAATGAAGAAATAAATGAGGCCAGCTTTTGCTAAGAAATAGGATCTGTAAGGATGGGCAGCCATTCTGTGTATGTGGCAGCAAGAAAGACAGAGGAGAGACGAACTGCAAAGCTTAGAAAAAGCTCTGTTTTGTCTGTGTGCTTATTAGTTGGGTCGTGGGGCTTTGAGGTTTTGTACGTTCATCCCAGTGTGGGGTTTGGGCTGTGTGAGGCACCAGAAGCATATTTTGGGGATTGTCCTTACTGTCTGTGGGCTGAGCAGCAATTCTGCACAAGGTATTTATTTGAAGTGGAGTTTGGGGCTTTTTTTCAGAGCAAAAACCGCTTGCCCTTCCTTGCTGATTGTCAAGGCTGTTAGGCTGTGCTATTTAGTCATCTGGAGCAGAATTTGTATGTGCTTCTCTTGTACAGATGGGCTAAAATTGAAATGCTCCCATTGTATAGGTTATCTCCATAGCTGTGTGTGTTGGATGCTATTCGTGTTTGAGGCTTCTTTAAATTCTAGTGCAAAAAAAAAAAAATAAGGGAAAAATAAGTTGTTGACCTGATACATCCAAGCTCCAGACCATGGGATTTCACCACACTTCAGGAACATCAAATGGGTTTGCTTACGCTTGAGTTTCTCAAGATAATTAATAGTTAATTAAATGGAGTTTAACTAAATACTTGTGCACGTTAGTGTGCGTACCACACAAACAAGATGTGGGAAAACAAAGGCTTGCAAAGCATCCAGAGAGCATGTGCAAATGTCAGCTAACTCGAATTAATTGGCAATTGGTTACCTGGAGATGGAAACTCACTGCTTGTCATGATAAATGTAATTAATGACCCGGTATTATATGGGGAGGTCAGTCTTGATGGGCTACTGCTCCCTTCTGGCCTTAATATCGAGATAACTATGAAATTTCACATTTCTTCCTCCTTTCTCATTCCTGCCTGCGCACTTGGGGAATCCTGCCTGGCACAGACTGGAACACACAGTGTCAGCTTCTTTACACTTACAGTAATGTAAAACATCAGTTTTTATAAATCTCATTTTTACGAGCCCCATCCCTCCCTGCTTCGGGCTGATATCAAAAGATGACGGTCGAGGCAAATCAGCAGAGCATGAACTTCATGGAAGTGTTTCTTTCTCTCCTTTCTCAGCTTTCCCCCTCCCCCAGTCCCCACTAATAACATCCTCCAATACCAAACCTTTATTCTGTTGCTGCATCTAGTTATTTGCTTTACTTTTAGCAAGCTCATCTATGTCTGATCCTGTTGTTCTTACTGTCAAATGCAGTAATATTTGAGTGAAAGGAATAAATTGAGTCCATTCTGTAACTTTGGGAGTGCGTGAAAGCAGTTTGCAATATTGGCTCCTTTGTGCCGAAGGAATAAAATCTTCCCCTCTGCAGAGACTTCTGCATCATTTGCATTCCAATGGAACCAGCAAATTGGGGCTCTGCTGCGGGGCAGATCTTTTCATCGCCATCAGCAGAAAGGTAGGCCTCTTTCCTCCCATCCTTCATAAAGAGCCAGGGGCTCGGTGTCTTGGGAAGCGTGAAGGGAACGTTGCTCCAGTTATTTCCTAAAAACAAGCCGGGCAGACTTGAAGCGCTTCGTGCTTGCACTCAGCTGATGATGCTGAGAAACACGTTCACTGCGTTGGGTGCTGCGCTGCCCAGGGCTTGGTGCCCTGCTGGGCTGCCCTGCTGCTCCTGTCTCTCAGCTCACTGCTGGCCTTGTGTCTCCACGCCACCTCTGTGTATGGGGGAAGCAGGCAGGACAGCAGGCTGCACCGGGAGCTGCGCTGTGGGGCCCTGCTGCCCTGTGCTGCTCCCCTGCAGTGCAGTAGCAGAAGGGTGGTTGTCCTGAGCTCGGTGTTGTGGGATGCCGTACCTGGAGGAGCCCCTCCGCCCTTTCCAGGCTGCGAGCATCACTTTGCTGCTGGGAATAGAGAGCGAGCTCCAGAAGTAACACTGACAGACTTCAGAATTACGATACGGTGGAGCTCCGGCGTAATTCTTTGTTGAAGAAGTTAGAGGCCTAAAATGTTAAGGCTTATTGTTATTCTGAGTTGATAATCTCTGCCTTGCTTTAATAATTTTTCCTCATGCCTGGATAGCCTGCGAGTTGCACAATAATCACTCACACAGCTTTGTAATCAATGCCCAAAGTAATAGGATTCCGCTGGCCAACGGCAATTAATAAATTTGTGTCTTTTTTAAAACACTAGCAAGTCGGGCCTGAAATACGACTGACTGGCTTTCCTCATTTGCATATTTATTGCAGTGGAAAAATTCTTGCCGAATGATTGATGTTGAGCCTGCCTCTTGAATTCCAAACAGCACATTATTATGAAATGAAAAATGCCGGCCATACAGTTGATTAAAGTTGAAGACAGTGGAATCGGTGTTTTTTAAGATTGTGGGAGAATTAAAGGCATATTTTAATAGATGTTGACAAGAAGTGAACTAACAAAAGCAAAGCAAAGGATTTGCTTGAAAAGATTTAATCAAACGTGTTTCTTGGGGGATTAATTGCTGGGGATGACTAGTGCAAGTGGCTGGCTGGTGGATTTGAATGAGAAGTATTGTTCTGGGGCCGGCGTATTGAGTGCCATTTTGACCTGTAGTTTAACTCTTGTCCCACCGCCGTTTGAAAGCAGAGAAAATTTCCCCTCTTCATCTGAATGTTGGGATAAATACGTGCACCTGATAACAATGCTTTTCATTATGCACAGCTGCTATAATAGAACCCGTTGGAGCCCTTGTTCCTGTTGGCACGGTGTGACCGGTGCAGCTCGCGCTGTGCGGTGGGGATGTGGTGGCTTCCCATGGTGGGATGGAACCCCCGTGTTTGGCAGCTCAGCCCTGGGAGGTCTGTGGTGGTGTTACCAGTTTGCTGGGCAATGTGAGCAGTGTCTGTTTTGCCCATGAGCTTCCAAGTGCTGTTAGTTCCCAGCTGCCTCTCTCAGCGCTTCTCCTTCTGTGCGTAATGCATTGAAATCCTGGAATTTTGCCCCAGTTTTTAGGATTCCATCTCTGACCGCCGTAACCACACATCTGTGGCTCGTAGCCCTGTGCTGGATGGAGGCAGCTATGCAGGGAGGAGCCTGCCTCGTGGAGCTGCTCCAGGAGCCTCGCTGGTTGGATCTCTGTGAATACCTCTGAAAACGTGGCCTCGAGGCACCCGCTTTTTCCATTGACTTGAAGTATCTCTGCGTGCAGCCACTCCCTGCTGCTCCACGCCAGCTGCTGCTCTCTGCAGCTGCTTGGGAAGATGAAATGAGACCCCATTTTTAGAGGTCATGGCAAAGAGCATGGATGTTTATCTGCACGTGAAACTGCCTTGCTGTAGAAGCACTGAAATGACAGTGATGAGAGCCGCCAGGGCGAGCAGAGATGTGCTGGTGGGTTGGTACCTGCAGCCAGGAGCTGGGGATGTGGCAGCAGAGTTGGTTTGTCTGTAGCCACTAGCATTGACAAAACTGATTTCTGTGGTTTGAGAGCAGTAGGACAGATTCCATCTCTGGTGGGGCTCCTGACACTTTGATACATGGCAGTGCTATCCCTGAATGGAGCTAAATACTCCAGGGCTACTCTCTGAATGGGTGAAGGGATGTATAAAATGAGAACGTATGAGAGAGTATTAACAGAAAGGCACACTTTGATTTACTGGTCCTGGCTCACAGCTTCCTTGGTGGATTGATGTGCTGTCTGCTGAATCTGGAACAACTCTTTCACTCCTATACACAAAATGAAGGGGCTCCCATAGACTCTTAAAAGTGACTCTTGCAAGTTAACATCTTACCCAGGCACTCCGAGTCCCATTGAAGCTGGAAGTTGCATTCAAGCTACGTTTGCTGTATACTTGCTGCAGATGGATCCTGCTCAGCATCAATTCTCCTTTCCCATGCGATATTATTAGGAAAGCTCTGATGGAAGGGGGGGGTTGCCTTTGTACTAGGGTTAGTTGGCCACTCCATGCATGGAGTATGGGTTGTTTGGGGATCCGAGTGGCTTGTATTCCACAAAGGGATCTAGATGCTTTTGTGCTGGGGCACCTGTCCTCAGAGAACACGGGTTGGGTGTACAGAAGTAACTTCTGCAAAAGGAGAGAGTTTTGTGGTTGTTTTCATTGCTGGTTTATGGCCCAGCGTGAGGGCAGGTGTTAAGCTGTACAGAGGTATTAGCTTTGTTCTGTGCATGCAGCAGGAGGTAGAAGCCATGGTTATCACGTGTGAGGACCGCTGGTTGGTTTTCTTAATGTATTGGTGTGCCTGAAAGCTCCGTGTTTGTAGCTTTTCTGATTGTCTGTTTCAGATGATGAGCAGCATTAAAAATGTAGGTATGTGCTGGGAGGGTTGGAGAGCAGGAGGGTTAGTGCCTGGCTTTCCTTCAGAACAGCCCAGCATGCATCTGTGGAATGGTTTTGCTTTATGCAGCCTTCATTCACGAGTGACTCAAGTCTTCTCCCCAGTGCAGGTGGTGTAAAAGCAGATGAGGGCGTTGGAGGGAAGAGGAGACAGGGAAGGGAAGGCAAATGGGAAGGAAACAGTCCCTCCAGGAACTGTGTGTGAAATGAATAGGGCTGTGTTGGGTGAGGAGAAGGCAGGGGAAGGTGGCACTCAGCTTCTGAAGTTGAGTTTACTGCGCACTTAAGCACCCAACGTTAACGGTGAGAAACCATCCAGCAATGCTATTAAATACACACGAATTGAAAGCAGGAAATTACTCAGCTGTAAGAGGCTCACGACGAAGCTGCTGTCTGCAATAATTAGCCCTCCCACCTGGTTAGATGCACGGTCATTGTCTTCCCTGCCCTCTCCATCCCCTTCACTCCAAATAAAATTGCTTCCCATCCCCACTTCTGTTGGGGTCTGTATCTCATAGCCTGGGGGAGCTTGAGCCTGTCTTTATTCCTTGCTTGCTTGCCGTGGCCCTGATATACCCCAGAAGAGCTGGAGTGCTACTCCAGTTGTAATTGACAGGATCAAAGCTGCCTGGGGTGCATTAGCACTGCTGCTGGAGGATAGACAGCGGGTAGAAAATAAACAGTTTCGGAAGCTCTGGGGACATTTAGCTGTGTTGCAGGCAGTGGGAAGGATTTTGCTGTTGTGAGCTGTGCACTCAGGGTAGGGTGGGGGCAATTTCCTTTGGAAATGATGCTTTAGCTGCAGACACGTACAACAAATGCATTTTTAAGGGCTTTTGTCTGTTTGTCTCTTAGAATTGTTTTGATGCGAGCGCACAACTGTTTTACAAGTACAGCAAACCTAATCCGTTAATAGGTTTATGTAGAAGAGCTGTCAGAATGTATCTGTAACGAACCCTGGGCTGGGGGAGTCCAACTGCTGATCTGCAGCAGAAATCTGAAATCTGACAGCGTCTCCTCTCCAACATTGCTGTTAGTGAGGTCAGGCCATGATCTGTCTGAAGTTGGTGACAACCAGACGATATCACAGTGGTCACGTATTGAGAACTCTGCGTGTCAGGGCTGAGTTCTTCTCATGCTGCCTGTGTCCGGCTGATGAAGATCTGCTGTTCACTCTACCCACGTCCTCCATTAACAAAAGAGGAATCGGGTGGTGAGAATAAATATAAAGGAATCTGTACAGCTCCCTTTAGGTTTTAGATAGAGGCGTGCTCTGTGGTATTGCCTTGAAGAGCTGAGCCTGTGGTTGATGTACAGCAAGGTGCAGAAGGAGTGTCTGTGTACTCCCAAACACTTGTTTAGATCAGGGTGTTCTGCAGGGGGCTTTGCTGCATGCCATAGAAGAGCTATTTTTAAAGAACAGATGTGGCAGCAGTGTGCAGTTAACCCTTCCCTACAGCCAACTCCACTGTATGCCCTTGGAGAACGTAAGGTCATTGGAACAGAGATCATTTTCTCTGCATCCACATCTGCATCTGTTTTATAGATACAGAAAAATTACCAGCTCTGAGAGCCTTTGGATAGGGAACATCAGATCAACCTTCAGGATTTGTGGCCAGCAGTTCTGCTTTCCTGATCAGAGTCCTCTCATTAAACTTGCCAGGTCATTGTTTAAGTTTTCCCCGTAGATCACATCTTGCTACATTTAATTTTACTTACAATCTAATTTCTATCACCTCCTGCGTGGTGAGCACAGCAGCAGAGAAACCAGCAATAGTCACAGCCCCGCAGGAGTTCGCTTTTTCTTCGTGCCCTCCCTCCTCCTGCTCCCTATAGCACGCACACTGTGTACGAGAGAGAGAAGTCAGAGGTCACACGGAGAGGCGATGTGTTTGTATACATTTTCCTTTGTGTTGCTTCATAATATTTGGCTGCAACTGACCTCTGTCACAAAACTTAATGCAAAGAGAAGTTAGTTAGTCAGCAGAGAAGGCTGTTGTCAGATTGTGTGTTGTGGAATGCTTCTTCACACGTTCTGTGTTTCTTCAATATCTTAGTCCTTCAGGCTGTGCGGACTGAATGTTTGTCAGTGAAACATTAGATCAGTGTACTCCCAATGTGCAGCCAGGCGAAGGTTTAGAAAGCAGCCCTCCCTCTCATCCTCCCTTTTTGGGAAAAAATTGTTCTTTATCAATGTGATGTTGTTCAAGATTAACAGTTATAAATCAAGGTGAAGTTAAATCCGCAACTCCGGCTGGTTGGAGAGAAACATTTGATTGGACATGTGGTAGCTGAGGCAGCAGTTCAGATTTGAGAAGAGAAACTAGGCTCTGCAAAGCAAAGTTTATATCAAAAGCAGCGATCAGTAGAAAGTTGTCACTTGTGTCTCTTGTTCTGCAGGTTGTAAAGCCATAGACACATTGCTGGGAGTACTAGTGGACATTCAGGATGAGTTGCTTTATCAATGCCCGGGCACAAGGCACCTGGTAGATGGAAAACAATCAAAACCTGAGAGGTAAATACAAAAGAAGATCTTTGTGAATCCTTTGGTCTCTGATTAAATGAGAAAATGCACAGCTTTCCTGACCACGCTCGTTCTCTGCTTTTCTCTCCGTTGCTGTTGGATTTGGGTGACAGCCATGCTGGGTGAATGGCGTTCCTTCCACTAGTGTGGAAGGAACTTAGTGGGAGCTATTGGGAATAGGTGAACGGTTGGACTGGATGATCTTTTAGGTCTTTTCCAACCTTAGTGATTCTATGATTCTATGATTCTAAGTCTGTTTTGTAATCTTTCTGAAAGCAGAGGAGACAAAACTGCAGCTCCTTCCCCATCAGTATTGCCGTGGAATGGAACAAGTCTGACTTGTAGCAAAGGGGCTGCTGAGAATTCACACGTGTTGCCTTAGACCGGTGCAGGGTGTTTAGTCTGTATCTGTTTATTTTTTAGTGATGATGAAATTCCCAGCAGCGGCGATGAAGAGCCAGCAGGTGAAGCTCAGGAGAAGAGGAAGCGCCCTCCCAAACGAAAGCTGAAGGCGGAGGACTTCCCAGAGTTCATAGCCAAGAGGTACAATGACTACAGGACGTACCGGAACAGCATCCTGCAGAAATGGCATGAGAAGACAAAGCTGGCATCTGGCAAAATGGGCAAGGTGAGTCTCTGTGCGTGCCAACGTGTGGTTGGTAGGGATCTGTGGAACAGCACTTGGTTTGGAAGTCTCCTGTTGTGGATATTCCAAGCTGAACCAAGTTCTGCTTGATCAGCAAATAGTTCGTGTTTTACAACACGATTAGGAGTTACTATGCCCCTCCTCCTGTACAGCATGTATACTTTAATAGTATGGGTAATCGTGTCCTCATAGGATCCAGGTTCTCATAGCATCTGTGAGTTTAATATTAATCATTGAGAAGTTCATCTGAACCAGAGCAACAAAGGCATTTTATTATTAAGCCGTGCCTCAGGCTACCTCAGGTTGGGAATGGAAGGAGAGAGAGAGAAATAAAAAAAAATAAATAACAAAAACAGCAAAAATCTGTGCAACAAAACCTGAGCCCCCTCCTCTTGGAATGCTGTCTGCTTATCCGCTGACATGGAAAGATAGAGGAACATTGCTGCCTTGAGGAAAAGCTTTCTGCATTATCTGACACTAGTTAATGTTGTTGCAGGGTTTCGGCGCCTTTGAGCGTTCAATCTTGACTCAGATTGATCATATTTTGATGGACAAAGAGAGATTGCTACGGCGGACACAGACCAAGCGATCAGTGTACAGAGTGCTGGGGAAGAAGGAGCAGGATTCCCATCCAGCCCCTGAATATTTGCCTGAAAATTCGGTAAGGGTGTTTTGTTTGGATGGCTCGTGCTGTAGAACCAGTGAAACTCTCTGCAAAACAATTAGCCTTTAACAGGAAATATTCTTGTTTGTGAGACTGAAGAACCTGATTGGTGTAATGCAGTGACTAGCAACGGTATGTAGACGTTTCAATTCCAGTTTTATGGTGTGTTACCTCTTGTGCCAGTTCTCAACAGCATAAAACAACGTTTGGTCTCTGACTGCGCCCCTCCTGTAGGAGCTGGTGGTCACTAAATCTGCCCGAGGCAGTGGCTACAAAGCTGTGTTTTGACTCTGGAGTTTAGAATCTTTAACCCAGAAAGTCACAGAAAATCATACTGCGTGTCACTACAGAGTGTATTGGTAGTACGTCGGTTATTAATTTAGTATTTAAGAATGAATAAATACTCAATTCTGATAGATCATGTGGAATTACTGCGCTTGCAAGATGTATTTTTGCCGTTACATTACAAATATCTGTAGTATTTTGCCAGTCAGACTTTGTGTAGTCCTATTTATTTCCTAGCAAAGGTATCATAAATCTGCTTTGGCATTGGCAGCATTTCTGCCTTGCCTTAAAATGTATTCCTAGTCCTTAAAAGCTTTCTATGATGGGAGCTGTTCTCCATTCCTTCCTATTTTCAAGTGTTTACAAGCTGCTACATGTGAAGTTGTCAGAGCTGGGGATGAAAGCATGCGAATACGAGCGTTCAGTATTTCCTTTGTGCTTCTAGGAAGTCCTCCCTGAGACAGATTCCAACAGGCACCTGAAGGACATAGATGAGGAAATATTTGATGATGATGACTTTTATCACCAAGTAAGTGTCTGTCAATCTGTGTTGGCATTATGACTGCGCTTAGTTTTTGAATATTCACCAAGCTAATGCAGCTGGCTCTGTGGTCTGAGTCTGTCTGATCAGTGAATGTGAGTCAGCTCTTAGATCTGCAGTCTCTGTAGATTGTTCAGGAAATTTTCACACTCAGCTTTCCACATAGAGCTCAAACTTGTGCTGTGAATATGAACTTACTGCTATTCCTGGTGCTGCTGTGTTGGAGAACCAGGGCTCCAGCATTAGATCTCCATCCGTGATTCTCACAGATGAACATTGCTACACAATAGAGAAAAATTACTGAATTATCCAAGGGTGACTTGTTGTTGTTGTTGGTAGAGTACGGTAATGAAAAATGATGGTAGTAGATCCTTAAAAGCACCGAAGTTATTTCATCTCAGCTGAGCTCATCTGCTTAGAATGAAAGAACGGCAGGGCTTCTGTGGAGCACTTTCCTTGGAGTTAGGCCAGGTTGGATTTGGGCCAGCTATTCTTTTTATTTGCACGATTCTTGGGAACAAGGTATCTGTGCTAAGCGCGGGAGGCTGAAGCTTAGGAAAACCTTGTGCTTGTAATGTATTTAATAAATGGCAGTGCCAGCTTCATAAAGTACCGAAATTGCCACGTGTTGAGGAAGACGTCTTATCTCAATGCATGAAAAACTGCTTTTGCTCTGATGATCCACGGAGTGTTTTCATGTCAGGACTAAACAAATATAATTATATTCTTAGAAAGGCAGACATTTCCAATCTGAATTAAAATAGGTAGCGAAGTGTGTGGGCAGTGAAAGAGAGCTGTCACCATGTAGCTGTGCTGGGTTGACTGATGTAGCCAGAAGAATTCAAATACTTCCAAAATTTGGGATTTCACGTGCAGAGCCAGGACTAGAGGTGAGTAAAACAACATGGTGACACAGGTCTGGGGATGGGAGAGCACCTCCCAGAGTGGTGTTGGCAGCAGTGGCTGAGGAGACCAAGTGTGTTATGCAGTGAGATGACATCGTCCTGGGATTTGGGGTCCAAGTGAACTGTTAGGACAAGAACAAATACAGTAGGTGCAGTAAAATAGAGGAGTGGTCAAGGAGAAATGTCTGTGAGTGACAGCCTTCAGACCTGTGCAGGTAAGGTGCTTATTGACTATGAAACGTTGAAATTTTTGTAAGAAAACTAGCAGTGGTCTGTCTTCATTTCTAATAACTTTAACTTCGATAAATCCTAACTTCAGAATTATGACTAGTTACAGCTTAGCTTTTCCCCTCACTGGTTAATTGGGGTGCTGGGGTTAATCTAAATTAAAACTTAAACTAATAGAGGTCATTGAGGGAGGAGAATCACCTGAGTAAAACAAATGGGTCTGCCAGGCACAACTGTGTCTTGGCCATTTCCCAAGAGGGAAGCGGCAGCAAATTGGAGTTGTTTCAGCATTCAGGAGAGGTGAAGGATGGGTGACACCAGTTTAATGTTCGGCACCTCCGGAAGCGTTCCAGATTGCATTCCTTGCTGTACCAACTGCTGCCTCCTGCAGCACACTGCATGGAAGCGGGACCCGCCGACAACATCTGGCTGCACAGCAAGGAATGGGTGCAACTTCTGAAACCCCACGGACTCTAAATATGGCGCTTAGCCTGGCGGAGGCTTTAATCACTTACTACTCTTTGGCAGCGGGCTCCGACAGCTTATCCTAGCCTCGTACATCACGCACAGACATCTGCTGAGCCGCGAGGCAGCTACACATTCATTTTCCTTTCTTGTTGTTGTTTTTTTTTTCTTTTTTTTTCCATCCCTCCCTCCCTTCCACCCTTCTCCTCCCGTCCCCAATATGCTTCTTGGGAGAGATGATCTGTAAAGATTACTGCTTCATTGTGTGCGAGTAATTGTGGGGATGCCAGCCCCTTGACAGACACGGCGCAGCACCTGTTCCGCTGACCTGGTTAATTTCTTCTGTTGAGTGGGATTTGGCAGAGATTGGAGCTGAAGCCAATTCAGTGATAAGGCTAAAGAAAATGGCTGTATGTTTTCTGTCACCTCCCAATTAAATTGGTTTCATAAAGTGCTTTCCTTTATTTGTCAGGGTGGTAAGCTGAAGCTGAACATTGCATTCAGAAAGGGTAGAGTGCATTACAATAGAGTGCTGACAATACAGAGAATGTGTTTTCTTTCAAACGGGTCATAACTGTGCAGTGCTTTGTGTGCATATATGTGTGTGCTTGTCTGTGTGTACACGTATAAATATTGGGTAGAAAGGGCACTGCTTCTTCAGCAGTAATGGGCAGCAACATGGCTGGAGCTGAGGCTGCTCAGGAACAGTGCCCTCCATGCATAATACTTATTGCACAGCATATCTGTGCATCTAAATGGGGGCTTTTGTCTTTGTTTGTAAATTTAGGTCCAGACCTTTTTTTTTTTAGTATTGCTTTCATTTCTCTGAATGCCGTTTGGTAATAATTTATTTTGGTTGCTACTTATTGCAGAATGGTGAGATATATGAGAGGAAAAAATGTTGGTAAAGAAGGATGTGAGACACCAATTCCTGTATGTTTCAGTGCAAAATTAAGCAATTAAAAATGAACGAGATCTGATCAATGCACACAAATTAATGGTAACAGAATGCCTAGCTGTACTATTTTATTATAGAATATAATCCCGAGCTGTGTAATGAATCTGTTTTTCCTTCGGATAACCATGATTTTCTTGTCCAGACCTTGGAGGCTGATGGAATTCAGTATGTGGGGCTGGGGGACCTTACAGGGGTAAGGTTGGGGTTGAACTCTGTTCTGTTGTTGGTCCCTCTTTGCTTTCTCTCATCTCCTTCAGTTGGTGATAAGCAGTTACAGTTCCTTGTGGCAGCCCAGGCTGAGTGCTGATGTACGGCTGGGCTGAAGGGTGCAAGAACTGTTTCCAAAAGATCCTCATTAGTGACAGCAGCTGAGAGGCCAGACTCCATTTCCTTTCCTCCTAAACTCTTGTTGGTACATGGTTTTAAAGAGGAGAAAAAGGCTGGATGTTTTTAGAAGTCATATTTACATGGAATTCACTGCGGCCAATATTGCAGCATTAGGGCTTAACATTCCGTCCTGCTGCCTGAGAGCTGCTGCTCTGCTGTGCTACAGTGGAGATTTTATTATTACCTTGAAATACTTCGCTAAAGAGAGAGTGGAAATGGGTTTCTTTCCAACAGGAATTAGGGTAGTGTTCAGATGCTAAGAGTTGCACCGATGGCAGCTCTTCCCAGAACAAATGTTCCTCATTGATGGCAGCAGGTATGTCTAAGGAGAGGCAGGAATATATGTAATCCCTTTTTCTCTCTGTTCTCTTGCTCCCTCCTCCCCCTGATGCGGTTGTGTTGTACATCACTGTGTTTTCTGACAGCTTTCTTTGCTCCAGAAATGGTACAGAGCTGGGGATGGGAAGGGGCAGAGAGCTGCCCTTGGGCTGCAGTTTGCTGGGGTTTGTCGGGACACTGCATGAGGTCTGCATGGCAGCTGAGGGACCTGTTTGTGCCTGGGCTTTGCTCCCAGCAGTGGGAAGAGCTTTGTTCTGTTTGTTGTGCTGCTGTTCCCTTGGGAAGGAGTTGATGTCATGGAAAACTGTGGAGGAGCTGTGATTCAGTCGTTGTTCCTTGTAGAGTGGCATCTCATGTACCCACACACAGGGTCAGAGCTGGCAGCAAAACGTGCTTCCTTGTTCCTAGCTTTGCATTTGGAATTCCTCCTCTAAACTGAGTGAGTGCAGGCAAGCTCCTGGTTCCCTTGCTAAGGTATTTGTAGCTCGCTTTGTTCCTCTTCTGGGTTGTGTGCACTGTACAACTTTTTAAGGCTCTTTACACCCTTGCATCCCAGCCAGGAGTGGCCCTGAAGCAGTTCCCAGTCACACGCCGTTTTTCTCTCCCAGGTATTTGATAATGCCATGAACAAGTGATTACTAATCTAGTAACTATTACAAGTGGATAATGGTGAACAGTAGAGAGAAGACTGGCTTTCTGACAAGCTGGTTTACCTTAATTAAACTGGTGAGTGATTAATATGGACAGCTGATCCTGTGACTTTAACAAGACGTGTTTTGAGTTTTGTGTGAAGAAGAGACGTCTCGAACCATCCTGCAGGTTAATGGCAATACAGTGCTATTATGCAGCGTGTGTCTTTCAAATGCCTGGTTAATAACACGTTCTAAAGCTTGATTTGAAATGTCTCTTAAGGGGATATGAGAAAACACGGGTATGCCATCCCTGCTTTGTCCAAAACTGAATTTCAGCAAAGTTTTTTTTTAAGGTGACCGTCCAGTGATTCAGCTTGTGCTTTCGGTGTGTGTGTTGTAAACAGATGATGGGTTGTTAGGTATTGAAGTGTTTCATGGGGAGTTAAAAGTAAAATTTGGGCTGTGGTATAAATTTTCTCTAGTGCTGCTGGAAATGGAGTTGTGACCACGCAGTGCCAGCTTAAAGGGGAGGAGGAATGTCTTGTTTCTGTGTCCAAGCAGGGTGCACTATGAGGTGCATGCTTCATAGAAACCACCTCCTCCTTATTTATGCTGTTCTTAATAGTTGTAAAGTGTATGAGAAGGAAACAGAAAAATAACGTGACTTACCATGTCTGTCCAAAGAATAAAGGAGATAAAAGAAATAAATTAGAAAGCATTGGAATGGCATTGATAAAAGGCCACGTTGTCAACTTTCTGCTGGGGAGCAGAGTGACTTTGCATTTTCACCACCAAGGAGGGTAAGCAGTTGGTGTTCCTGTTCTTATTGCTTTACTTGGACTTCACACGTTGTCCTCAGCTTCTCTGCTCCTCACTGCCCAACCCAGCCAAGGGCAGCAAAGGAGCGCATGGCTCTGGTGTGCTGTAGCAGAAAGCTCTGAGCCTTTCCTGCAGGCTTTAATCACATCAGAGAAAAAGTGCTTCTCGTGTTCCAGTTCTGTTTCTAAGGCTTGTAAACTAAACTGTACCCCATGGTACACTACTTTTGCAAGGTAGGAATGCAGAGTGGTCTGTGAGGGTGTAGAAAGGCCCTTTTGTCACCAGGCTGCTTTGGGCTGCGTGTAGCTCTTTGTTCCAGCTGGCAAGTCCTCAGTCTGCACATCAGAAAGGTCAGCAAGTGTAGTACTAAGAACACTGATAGATAGTGCATGAAAATGAGACCTAACCTCTGCAGGGCAAATTGACCTCTGAAATGAGAAATGAATCTCTATTACCCTTGAACAACACCCTGATGGCATTTCTAAATCCCCCTAATTTTGTACAGTGTGCTTGCTTCTCTTTAATCAGCAGAGAAAGGAGTCCTTGTGAGGTGAATTCTTCTGAAAGCACACATCCAGTGTGAGCTTTACCAAAGGCTTTGGAGCTGGTAGAGGCAGGCACATGGCTTCTCCTGGCTTGGAGCTGGCAGCTGAGCTACAGGCTGTGTTTGTTTGCATAGCAGAGAGAGTTTGTGTTTCTGAAGCTCAGGGAAGATGGGAAGGGGTGAAGGAGGGAAAGCAAAATAGGATATGTTTCAAATCAAAGCCTTTTGATGCTGAAATTGCCGAACTCAAACTGTCTTCACACATCAGAGCTTAATTCTGATAGTGATTTACCTACACTTCCTAGTTAATAATTAGACATTGGGAGACACCATATATCACTCCTAATGGAATATATGGGGTCTGATGATCGTTTTCTGTTTTGACTAATAAATTTTAACCCGAATCTCCAAGCTTAATGAAATATTACAGCTTCGGAAGTGTTTTAAGTCTTGTGCTGTGAAAACAGTGTTACGTTATTCAGTAAATGAGTTTATCATTCATTCCGTACCCTGAGCCCTGGTGGCTCTGGAGCATGGGCTGAGTGCAAGACTCTGAACTAGAAAGCGGAAAAACTAATCAAATCCTTAAAGACCAAAGGCAGCGAGGCAGGTCTAGACTGACTTTTTCAGCAGTAGCCTCTGGCTACATCCGCTTTTATTTTAGTAACCATTGTTAGCATGATTTATAACGTAAGCCTTAAGACGTGCACTATTTAGATATAGCAAGATGCTGCACAGCTTTTATTTCTCTTTCCTTGTTTCCCTCTTGTGCCCGCTCCGCTGTAATTCCCCCTCACCTTTGTCTCCCCTTCCTCACCCCAGCCTGGCTGCTGGGGCTCCTTCAGTGCAGCGTTCAGCATCAGTCCCGAGGTCAGCAAGGCTCAGTGCCCCACGGAGCAGCCGATCTGCTGGACGTCAGGGGAGTGCAGAAGGGGCAGCTGCCTGCAGGGCTTGTCACCTAGTGGTGCACAGGGTGCTTATGGTGCAGCTGCAGGTCTGTGGGGTCGGTGGGCCTCCAGGAGGGTCAGGTCCTGCTGCAAAGCCTTGCTGCTCAGCTCGGAGGAGTTCTGCTGCCTTACCTCTGCCTGCACAGCTCTGCACTTTTTCTGCACCTTGTGCCAAGGAAGCGAGATAAGAGGAGACAGTAAACGCATCCTATTGCCAGTACAGGAAGAAACCACTGTAACATAGCTGCGCTGTTCCTTGCCACTGTTAAAACCCTCCCTCCCACCTTGCTTTTGACAGAATATTGACTAGAAACCAAGATCCCATTTCTGCTTAGCCTTAAGGGCAGCTGTTTACAGAGTGGCAGTGTTACATAGGTTTACTGTGTCGTATGTCTGTGTAACACTGGATTTGGATCTTGTATTTAGCTGCCAGAAGTGACGGTGATGGAGTGGGAGAGATAAACTGATAGATTGTGTGCCAGAAAGATGTTGGGAATCAATCAGATAAACGGGGCAGAGAAATAGCTTGCTGTTTTCTAGTGATAATAAACCAGAGACCTCAGTTCCAGGAATTTTTAAATGTAATTGCTGCAGTAATAATCTCTAAAAATAAGCAAATAGAAAGAAGTAGTGGCAGGGTTTTAATTGGACTGGAATTGCACTTTTTTTTTTTTTTTTGGTGCTTGAGTGTCACTGGTATAGAAATTATAAAAAAAAAAAGTCATAAAATGATAACTGCCTACTTTGATGGCATTTTCTGTGGGGTGCATGCCTTGCACCTTCATTCCAGTGGTGCATTTATGTGCTCAGGAGATGCAGTGAGTTACGCAGTGCCCAGGGGCAGCACCCGTAGCTCTGTGGCTGTTGCTCAGCTGGGACTGACCATGGTGCTCCAACCTTCCTCCTTCAGCAAAAATACAGGGGAGAAGGAAAGTGCCACTCATCCTGTCTTTAGTACGCTTGTTGGGTTGGCTGGGCCTCTCATTTCCAGGGCTGGTTCTGGTTTGGGTGCTGAAATGGAGGCATCTAGAAGAGATCTGTGCCCCTGTGTTCCCGAGGGTTTGTTTCTGTTCTCTGTGTCGCTGTGCAGGCTCATCCCGAGGCACAGCACGTGCCATCTACAGTGAGGGTGATAAACACGCAGCCCTGGTCAAGTATCCAAAAAGGCTGTTCACAATGTTCTTTGCTCTCAGGAAGTGAAAAGGACAAAACCTAACCCTCAGGACATGAAAAGAAATGGAAAAACCTGCTTGAGCATTCCTGCTCTGGCTGTAAAAATTACATTGCTGTTCTGTTCCTCAGAGTGTGAGCGCCGAGCAGCGCTTGTGTTCTGTTTTGTGAAGCCATGTGGGGCAGAGATCTCACTGCACATCTTCCAGCGTTCCACCCCACGTCAGTAGGAGTTGTGTACGGCAGCCTGTGAAAGCTCCCATGTTTTCACACTCCCAAAAGCCCAACAAGCAGTAATGATCCCTGAAATACAAACTCAGCTCTTCATTCTGCCCCATGGGGAGGGACGGCCGTCTCCCTTGGGAACTTGGGGCTGCACATTCCTCAAGCTTTCTTCAGGAAAGTTTTCTTGAGCCTGTTTGCATTCACTTGTCTTTGTTGTGCTTCTAACAAGGGTTGCTGTCTTTCTTCCAGCTCCTTCGAGAACTGATAGAGCGTAAAACCACTTCATTGGACCCCAATGATCAAGTCGCCATGGGCAGGTGAGTAGGAAGTTGTCTGCAGCATCACCAGCTCCTTTCCAGCCCTGAAATGCAAAACTGCTTGTGAGCTTCCAGTCCTCCCTGCTGGGAGAGGAGCTATGGGAGTGTGTGTGTGTGGGGAGGGGGGGAAAATTCATTAGGTGAAATTTTGGAAGTGAAATAACTTTTATCCTTGTAAAATACTACCCAAATTTTAGTGCAGTGTGTCAAATGTATTTTGTGTACGTCTGAAATACTATGGAAAGCCATTCACTATAATTTAACACGATATAGACAAAATTACATTTAAGTGGTGATTACATTGTACATTTATCTGACTTTACAATAAAATAGATTACAGTAATTAAGATTATATTAAGATTGCAGTAATTGGATTTTGGTAGATTTTTTTCCCCGATGTTGAGTTTTCGTTGTATAAATCAGGTGAGATGACGCTCATTTTCATAGAAAATATATTTATAACTTGGAGAAGTTTTTCCCTGCTGAGAACTTCTTTGGCTTGATGGCGTTCTGTCTGAGCACTTCGAGCCCTGCCTCCTCAATTCCATTGGGAATCAAGCAGCACTTTCTGAAAACGTTGAGTGCTTTTCTTTTTTTTATGTAGTTCTCCTTTGTAAGAGGTGGAACGATATGTGGGACTTCCTGCTGGTTTAATAGGCAGAGATGGTGGGAAGAAATACTTGCTTATCATTCACCATGCTATGCAGAACTGAGGGAGGCAATAAATTCAGTGCATCTGCTGCACTGTGGTGATTCTGTTCATGAGGACCCAGTTTGGAGCCTGGTGTGGCTGGAATGAGAAGGGCTTGTTTACCTGCCACGTTCTTGAAGTGACTCAGTAACGTGGTCGTTGGGGTTTCATACTTGTTGTCCTGAGGTCCTCATCTCTTTTATTTTTGCAAATGCAGCAATCAGAAGAGCTGGGAGAGGCCTCGGACCTCAGTGTGCCTAATGCTCGTTTGCCTTGTGGTTTTAAAAATCATGTAACTGTGATTTTACATTCCTCAGACAGTGGCTGGCCATCCAGAAGCTACGAAGCAAAATAAAGAAGAAAGTGGACAGGAAAGCCAGTAAAGGAAGGAAAATCCGGTGGGTGACAGCTTCTGCAGGCAGCCTGAAGTTCTGGTTTTGCCAAGTAGATTTGCACTACAGCAGGTTGGCTCTGGGGTGCACTGGCACACTTGTTGATCCCCTTCAGGGCAAGATGGCCTGAGACTTCCTGTGGGGAGTCTTAATGGTCTTTGAGCCTAAGGTGAGGGGTTGGTTGGATGCAACCTGTGAGTGCTGCCAGATCAGTTTTAGCAAGAATGTTTGTTGGTCTCAGAACACACCTGCAGGGGTGTACAGATATCCCTAAGCAATTTGGGGTTGTAACTTCTGGTGAAAGCCAATAAGCACTTCTTGTGCAATATATATTTAGCAGGCTGAAATGTGGAGAGCAGCTTGAGGGGAAGACCTGTAAGCAAGCCCAAGTGAGGTGGATGCCTGTTTCCCACTGACAGTTGGAATGTAGAGTCTAAACTCTATTTTCAAGTCACATCACAGCTTTCTTTAGCTTCAGATTCTGATTCCTCAGTCAGTAATGCAGGTTTCCCATGGAAGAACTGTCCATTCTGCAGGCTAGAGAGGGAAAGCAGCCTGGAGAAGATAGTTGCTAGTTTTATTTTTCCCCTCTGCAGAGCAGATATATTAGTCTGCCTGAGTTTAGCATGACTGCATGATTTGTAGTGAAGGAGGTGTTTGTGGCAGGGAGGCATGCTGAAAAGCTGCACCATATCCTGAAAAATCTGCAACATTAACCATCCTTTTGTGAGTAAACTATAAATCGTGAGTTGAGATGGCATCTGATAGAAAGTCAGTGGAGTCAGTCTGGGTCAGGCCTGGCATAGCAATTTTTAAGATAGATGTCATAAGATAATTTATTAGAAGAGGGAAGAGCTACTTTGTTGGCCTGAAAAGCCTATAATTATTGACTATCAATATTCTTTTCTGTCAGCATCACGCATAATTGGATATATTCATGATTCAGTCAAAACTACTGAGAGCATCACACAACTGAGTCAGACTCATAAACCTTCAGGAATGATGGGGGATTCTCGTTGTGAGCAATCTGTGTGCTTCAGCGTTCCTGAGATGGGCCATCTTGCTGAGTCCATTGCCTCAGATCTTAGGTGCCTCTTTATTTTGTTCTCTGAATGAAAGTTGCGCTGACCCCTCAGGAAAAATGTCAGTATTAACACGGAGGTAAGCTCCAGCATCTTGTTCAGAATAGTCCAGTAGAGCCCAAATGGGTGCCTTTAAATGGATGTCACCCTAACCACATTGCTTCTAACATTGCTTAGCAGATGTTCTCTCTTCCCCCCTTTTCTCCCTTAGATTGAGGTAGTGGTTCTTACATTTCTTTTCATACAGGGTTTGGAGATCCTGGGAAGCAAAGCGTCACACGCTACATTTCATCCATCTCTGTAATTCTTCCTTTTTTAGCAATGTTTTTCCAAACCTTCAGTGTTAGAGCGTGTCCAGGTGAAATGTGCCAGTTCACTGCGTGGTCTGAGCATCTCCAAGCGCTTTCAAAAGCATTTGCCCTTGTGCTTGACATGAGGACCTGTCCCCTTCATACGTGGAGAGATTGAGGCACCAAGGGGAGAAGCAAGCCATTCCAAAAAGGGTGAGCTTAGGAATGCTGGTGCCCAGCCCTGTGCTGTCCTGCTCAGACAGTCCTTTGGTAGCTGTGGAGGAGCAGTGTGTGCACACCTTTGTTCTTGTCAGTGATGTCTGGTCCTTTGCTGCTGCAACATGGGATGTGGTCCTGTGGATGGAGATAGATAGCTTGTATCTGCTAGAGCAGGCTTTCCAAAGTCCTGCTTATGAACACATGGCAATAATTAGTTCTGAGCAAACAAATTTGTGCCAGGGAATTTATCAGAATTGCTCAGTCCCAACAGCACTGTGCAGCCTGTAAGCTTTGAACTGTGGGAATCAATCAGTTGTTGATGTGAGTGAGCTGTTTCACGGTTCAGCCTGTTGACCCACTGTCTGTTGCAGCACTGGCACGTGGTGCTGTTGTCTGTTCCCCAGTTTGATCATACTTTGTTAGGTCAGCACAGCTCCTTCCATTCCCAGAGAGGCCCTTGTGTAAGGGTGAGCATGTGCTGTGCCTGAAGAGCCATTCTGAAATATTCTTGTAAGTTAAAAAATCCCCTCAAGGGAATGTTCCTGCATAAGCAAACAAAAGGGAGTGCAGAGGTGACAGAGAGAAAAGGTGATTCTGGGCAAATGCTTGTGAATCCTTTTGCCTGCTATTTGTCAAGCTCTAAAAATAGCAGCAACTTGGATAAAACATTTCTGAGGCGGGAGGTGGTGTGGCAGTGTACATCAGAAGCTGCTGGTTTGGAACCTCCTGCACTTACACACGAGGGTCTGAAGGCACGTTCTCGCTCTGTTAAAGTGTGCATGTCGGGTCCTGAGTGTAAGTCGTGAACAGCTACTGCCAGCTCCTAGCCCAGGACAGAAAGCAGGAGGGGATTCCTGTATCTGTAGGTGCACCGCAGCTAGCAGAAGTATTTTGGTGGGTCAGAAGCTGAGACAGATGCAGAGCTGCATCACCTTGGGCATGCCCCTTCTGTTCTTTGGGGTGGTCTTTCTCCTACCACCTTCTTTGCCTCTTTTTACATCCTGTGCTTCAGAGTTATTCGAGGTAAAAGTTTCCAGCTGTGGGTATTGCTAGGGGAGAAGGATTTTGATATCCTTTAGGTCCCATGCTACCAAAGAGCGTGGAAAGCATGATAGCAGATGGATGCTTGAGAATACCTGCTGCTCTGGTGCTTCTGCTGCCTGCAGAGGTCTCTGGGCACAAGCTCCAGAAGGCGATTAAGGCTCCAGCTGAAGGGCAGGCTGAAAGCAGTTCTTGTTTCTCTGCCTGCCTTTTCAGGGCTGTCTGTCTGGGAGTCTGATGAGGTGCTCACACACAATTAATGGATGCTGTATGTCCTCATTCTAGCTGTGCTGAAAAAAGGGTTTGCTTGTTAGTCATGCATTCAGTTCATTGTATCATCTGATTATTCTTCTGTCCATGTTATAAGAAAGGAGGAGGAGGGAAGGGAGGGAGAATTGCCAACTGTCAGTAGTAACTCATTAGATATCAGCCACCAGGAGAACCAGCACTTCCTTTGCAGGGGCTGATATGTTTCTATTCAAACAGCAACTTTTCATTAGTAGTTACTAATGTGCTGCCTGCTTATTCCTGCCCTGTTTAGGTATCATGTCCATAGCAAGCTGGTGAGCTTCATGGCACCTATTGACCACTGTACGATGAATGATGATGCCAGGTGAGTAATAGATTAATTATGTTTCTCAAATGGCTTCATGACAGCGTGATATTGACCTGTTCTTCAGTCTGTCGCCCTCTCCATTTCTTCTTATCAGTTAACCATTTGTCACTGGCATCATAGCCTGGGTGTCTTGGCCACATCTGTCCAGGCAGTCTGACTGAGCTTTCATGCTGTAATTACTGTGACACCAAACAAGAAATTTTCATAAATCTCGGTACCTACGTTTTTACTCCTGCTTTAAAATTACATGGATGTTGAAATCTTTTAGTTTTGTGGAATTATTCTAGAAATTGTCAACTATGTCACCTAACATCTACTGGTATGATTGAAAATTACAAAGGATTTGTCTTCTGACAGAAGTGGCAGCTATTTTAAATTCTGTTCAGTGTGCATTTCGTAGTGCAGGTAACAGCTGGGATGGTTCTGTCAAGATTCAGACCAGTCCTAAATGTTGCTTGTGTTTATCACTATTTAAAGGTGAGATGTTTTACTAGAAGACTGCACTGTTTTAATTTGCTAATTACTAAAGAGGGTGCAAGTTAAGTTTTGTACATAGCTGCTAGACAGTTCTATGTAGGTATGCACAGTTCTGCTGTGTAATTAGGATTTTTTAACTAAATCTTGAGGAAGGTTGTGGGAGGGAGCTGCTGTAATCTTTACAATGAATGGATGTCGGAGGCTCGAGCAGTGCCTTTCCCCTGGGTTGTGGAACACCTCTGTGCTTTGTGAGAGTAAAATGTCATTTGTCACTTTGGGAAATGGAAGCCGAATACCTGCTGCTCTTAGGCTGTTGCCTTGTGGGATATTTCAGAGACTTCTGGGTGAGAACTGTTCAGAATGCTGGCACTAAGACATCTTCTGTGCGCAGTTAGACCCGTGCTGTTTTGTCCTAAAGAGTTCAGGATGTTTGTCTTCACTTGCATACAGTTCCTATTGCACTGCCCTGCAGGTTGGGCAGGCATGCAGGTTGCTGCCCTGTCCCCACAGTGAGGGAAAGCTCAGTTTTGTGATGTGTGTGACGGGGAGGTGGAGAAAAAAAAGATCCTGATCCTAATAATCCAAGGGTTATCACAGTGTGCTTGCTGTCCCCAGAGGTGACATTGCTTCCTCCTTTGCAGCCCGCTGCGCTCACTTGTGTTCCAGAAGTTGTGCAGAAAACGCATTCTGCAAGCCAAAATTCTCCAAGTGCATGCAAATGGAAGGGCAGCAAACAGCTGGATTGTCATTTGGCTCAATGGGCTTCTTGGGCCTCGCTACACGTCCTCTGCCTGCCATCTTCATAACCCTGCCTCCCCTTACCCCTCAGCAGGCACCTGCAGCCCTCCTGGGAGTCCAGCTGACCCTCAGAACTATTAGGGGTAATGGGGTGCTGTCTGTGTGGTGCTGTGTCAACACAGTTATCGTTGTGGTGGGGCCAGAGTGTTCGAGAGCATCTCCTGGGAGTTCTCTGCACTTTGGAGGGGTTATTATATGGCTTGCATGTTTTATGGGTTCTTTGGTGGCAGCAGTGTGGCAGCAGCTGCTGCTGCTTACTGTCTGACTGCAGGAACTTATTCCTTACATTAAGTTTATTAGTTGCTTTGGAGGCCGCCACACGTTCTGTTTTAGTCACTTATCTCTTGGTGCTGCTTTAGCTGTCTAGAATGGAGCTGCCAATTGATGTGTTTGCACACCAGCAAGTGGGCCTGAGGGCTGCATTGCGTGTGCAGCTGTGTCTCATTCTGCCAGGATTGGGCTTTCAAGCAAACCCTGGGTAGGACAGGGCAGCACAGGCATCAGGCTGGGCAGTTCTGCTCACAGTTTTGCTCGTGGCCCCGTGGGTCGCCTTGGATGGTTGGCTCAGTGTGCTTCTGTGGCTGTGAACTGGGATGCCTGGAGGTCTGCAGAGAGGAAGTGTAAAAGACAGTGGTTTAGTAATAGCAGTATATCACTTCCTCGTTATAAGCCAGCAAAGCTTTTGTTTTAGACGAGGTGGAGCACCGTACTTCTCTAACAGCACGCAGCCACATTGGACAAGAAGAATTCACATGTGCTTTAAACTGCAGGTGTATTAATTAATAAGAAGGAGCCAAGCCTGTATACATGAGAGGGAAGCAGACATGATAACACCTTTCTTCTGTGACAGAAGAAGGTAACTTTATTGTTTCCACATGTGAATTACTACATTGAAAATGCAGTGTACGCTTGACAGGGATGTGACTGTGCTCTGAGCTGTTTTTTTTTCTTGCTCAGGCACTTAAAAGACGTGACCCCAAAGTAAACACGCATCAGAACAGCAGAGTGCTCTGTGTTGCAGTGTGACAACTGTAAAAGTATCAGTGAGCTGTGCATAAAGAAGAGCAGCAATAGAGCTGGCTGAACATTCCTCAAGTTCTACCAGTGGCCACAGTGTCAGGTAGATACCTGGAAAGTGGCAGTGAATAAATATGGATGTGCAGATGTGAATGGGCAGAGTAGTGCTCAGGCTCTGGTTCCCCTGGGGCTGTGCCAAGCCCTCACACCCCAGGTGCAGCCCCTTCACCACTGGGGCAAAAGCAGAAAGGAGTTGTCTGTGACTGCAGCACTGTATTGCCCAGCCCTTTTGTGTATGTTTGCACGGATAACTGGACGTAGGGATAAATCTGAGGCCTGGCTCTCCTGTGCTTTTGAGCCATCTTACACTGCTCTGGCTGTGCAGAGAAGGGCATAGCTTCTTGGCACAACTTAAAATCGTGCCAGATGATGCTGGGGCTCACCTGAAGGCTCCTGGGTGGCATTGGTGTGGCTGTGGGCAGCCAGGACTCTTGGGCACATCAAGTTTAACACTGGCTGGGGAAACAAGGAGCAAATGTGTGAGGAGAAACAACCTGTGCACTGCGTGGGGAAGGGGATGGATGGTCACTCCAGAATTGTTTTACAGCCTGAATTTGAAAAAAGAAACGTGCAAGTATAATGCTGCCTTTGTCAACATCACCGCCACGTTCTTTCTTATTCTTGCTGCTGGTTGGAATAATAGCATTCGTGCAGGCAATTAATCTTCCACTTGCCAGTTTTTCATGCACCCTACGCATGGGCATGGCTGTTTAACCTCGTGCTCACATATATTATGTTGTAATGTGTGGGACACTGGTGGCCTCGAGCTCTCCTCTGTTTTAACCCCTCACTGGTAGTATTTTAAAACATACACTGGAAAGTGATTTTTATGGTTATCTTGGGGTATATGTTTATAGACTTAAATACATTTATAGTACTCTTGGGCCAAGGTTCTCCTAATCGGTCCAAGGTCATTGCTATGTAAATGGGCCTGCCCTGTGACAAGGAAGCTGAAGGCAAAAGCTTGAATGTGAGTGCCTTGCAGTGGTGGATTGGAGGAGAGTAGTGGGCTCAGGAAGGAATGGATCTCTGTCAGAATGGCATCGTGTGGGTGTCACTTCCTGGGCTTCCCTTGAAATGTGCTTTTCCTGTCTTCTCCACCTGGGGTCCCTCCTTTGACACCAGCAGCTGCAACAGAGCTGGGGAGCTGCCCATCTTCTCTACTTTCTACCCTGGGAAAAGAGGCACAGGAGATGACAGACCGAGCCTCGAGGTTCCCAGTAAAGGTGTGCAGGTCCAGAGCCAAATGAGTGCATTTTCGTAGCTGCAGGAGTGGAGCCTCCAACCAGTCTAGTTGTGGTGAGGTCAGGTAAGGTCTGTGCTCCTGGGAGGATGTGAGTGGATTCTGGTGGTGGTACATCTCTCTGTCAGCTTTGATATATGAACCTTCAGATCTCTGCGCTGTATGTGTGTGCAGCAGAGACGAAATGTGGACATTTTGGAAGGAGGTCCAATATCAAATTACTGCTCTGTTTGAGGAACATCCTCATCATTTCACCTCTGGAGGATGGGGAACTTGTGAAAGAGGCATTCTTTAAGGACGCAGATGTTTGGTCCGCACGCCTTTATCTCCTGAGACGACTCAGGTTATTCTGACAGGTAAAACAAGATTGTGCAAATATGCAACAGTGATCTAATCAGCTGGAACAACAGCAATATTTTAACTGGCGCTACCTTTTAACAGCATCATTAAGGGCTCTCATTACTCTTTTATTAGAGGCTCACTCTATTTCTTATCAGATTACAGAATGAACATAACTCATGGCACTGATTTGATCTCTTGTTAAAGAGGATTACAGCTTTGCATTAACTTGGATTGACACGGTTTATAATTTGCTGTTGATACACATGCTGGTGGTGTCACATGTTTGACCCCCCTCCCCACAGCACCGCTGAGGAAAAGGACACCCATACATCATCATTAAAGATGGCACCGGTGCAGGAACGGGAGGCGAGGGGAGGCCTTCCTGCAGTAAGGCAGGCAGGACAAAAGAGGTGCATCCTCAGTGCAAGCTGAAGTTCAGTGCTGGCTGAAGGGCAACTTTGGGATGGGTCCTTTCTCACCTAAGTTAGCCCACAGGTTGCTGCTTTTGGGCAGAATTGATCGTGCACCAGGGCACCTCTTTGCCTGGCAGAAGTTATGTGGTCATCGTGTCCTTGCTTGTAGGAGCTGTGGGCCGTGGGGGCTTCAGGTTCTGGCTGTGTGCCCCTGCTTGGTACGAGAGCAGCCGGCCTGCTGTGCTTTTGGCTGCTTTAGTGCAAGCAGGCTGTGCCTACTGGGGAGCAGAGTGAAGGCACAGCTTATCCCACTGTGGATTAGAGCTTTGCTTTTGGATTCAGCCAGGATGTTGCGTGCATTCCCAGGCAGCTTTCTCACTTTTGCACTTAGTGCTGTTGCTCTGTCGCAGTGTGTCTTGCAGCAAGCAGAAGGGGGTACATCGTAGGAAATCCCGGTATTAAAAGATTAATTTACTTATGTGACACAAGATTTTAACGTAAGAAAAGTATAATAAAAAAAAGTTGGTGAGATATCAGCCTTTAACGTAGCTCACTTTGTGCTGTGGGTATTAAACACCATGAGACGAGATTAATGGGGGAATTTGGGTGCTGAGATTGTCAATCCAGCACCGTTCATCACGACAGAAGTCCCCGCCAGCAAGCAAAGCATTTCTTCCTGGAACAACTGCGGCTCCCGTGCTGCGTGGCACAAGCACTGGCAACTGCCAATGAGAAGAACCTTCCAAGTTTGTACAGGCACAGCCTGGAAGAACATCAGTCCAGGTTTGCACCTGCGTTGTTGTGTGAAACAGAGCAGCGCTGGCATCGAGGGCTGCCTCTACAGCGTGACATTTTGGGCATCGTTTGTTTGGTGGATTTTGACCCCATAACTTTTGGCTCAGCCTTAGAAGTCGACTCATGTCGATGCTGTTATGTGCCCCAGGTGGCCTTTGGCTGCAGTGCTTGGAAGGGCTGCTGTTGGAGGAAGGAGTCGCCATATGTTTGGAGGCTGGCAGTAGTGAGGTGGTACCCGTGACCCCAGCTTGTGCCAATGGGCTGAAATCATCGTGTCCCAGTGTCTGATGTTTGACGTCCCTGGTAAGAAGACAGACGCCTCTGTTATGGAAATTTCCTGTTTAAAGGGAAAAAAAAATAACCTGTTAAGAGCTGCAGGATGATTTGTCGCCCTTCCTTTGTGAGACAATTTGTCTTCTCCTGCATCAAATCTGTTATAAAACAGTCAAGCTGTGAAAGAGGGAAATCATCCTAGGAATATGGGATGTTAAGGTACACAAAGAATGGTCCCTCCGTGTGGGGTGTGCACAGCGTTACGGTGCCTGCTCTGCTCAAATGCCCATCTGAAACAGGGACCGAGAAGGCAACGTTTTATGGATTTCATGGGGAAATTAAAGCTGCTAGGAAACGTGATGGCAGAGCGTGCTGGAGCTTTCTGAACCTTTCCGCCTTTTGCTGCTTCTCCTGCCACTTCTGCATCTTTTATATATCATGTTGTAAAGGCTCACATGAAACTGTGAATGCTGTTGGGACTGAAATCAGGATGAGAAAGCTTCCTCTGCTGCAGTTGCTGATTGTGTCGCATGTGAGGCCGGTGAAGAGGCAAGAGGCCGTGTGCTGGCTTCAGGGTAGGCTGGGCAGCACCGGTGATGGGTGAGCATTGTGAAGCCTGGCAGATTCCACGGCAGCAGCCTGGCTGTCCACCTGTCATTTCCCACTCCCTGGCCTCACTGTGCAGAGTCCCTTTGTTTAGGGCAGGAACCAGCTTCCTGAAATATTATAAATCTCGTGCCTGGTCTCAGGAGACAAACCAGAGGTCACATGTCACCGCTCATAATTTAAAGCCATGGGGCTAAAAGCATTTGCACGGACTTGAAGGACCCAATCCTGACCTGCCTGAACGAGAGGGAATAGCAGCAGACCTTTCTGAATCTCCTTCAAGCACTGGGCACGGCGATGAGAGCCGTCTGCTGTGTAATTTATAGCTGGAGTTGTGTGTCTGGGGTTGGGTGCTGGGAAGTGAGGGAGAAAGAGAGAGAGAGTGCCATCTCGTGGGGCTGCCATTGGTGTGGGATGGTCATCATGTCATGGGGCTGCCATCAGAGTGGGACGTTTGGCACATCATGGGGCTGCCAATGGCACGGAGCTGCCATTGACACAGAGCAGTCATCGTGTTGTGAGCTGCCATCGGTGTGGATCTGCTGTCATCCTGTGGGCTTGCCATCATCTCCCAGGCCAACCATCTTGCTGCCCTGCTGCCCTGCAGCCCCACATGACCCCACAGCACTGCAAGCACACTGCTGTGCTTTGCGCTGTGTTTTTGAGGCCCCTGGCTTTCAAAGACCCCCCAGTATTTGAGTGCTGCTCTGATGATGGCTGCTGCTTGTTTTGCTCCCCATCAATCCTAGAATTGTTGCTGCAGAAGTGTCAGAGTGGGAAATGCACGTTAGGTGTGTGAAAGCAGAGCCAAATCCCATATGCTGTGTGCTGATTTTGAGCAACACTTTGGGCCAGAAATTGAGAAGGAAAGCACTCCAGCTTATTGTACCTTCCTGGGTTCCTGCTGTGCTTGCTCAGAAACCAGTAACCTGAATTTCCTACTGGTGGACAAAAGATTTCTTAGGATACGGATGGAAAACTTCCCAAGCAAATGACAGGCAGCCTTCTGTGTTCATCAGGTGTGTGCTTTTCATCCTCCATTTCTTGAGGGGTCTTCATGCTGTATCTTCCACTGGTTTTTGTGAATTAAAAATGCATTGTTCCCGGTGGAGGATGTCACGAGCAATGGGGTAGTTGTAGTTATTTCAATACTGCTTGGGGCATCTTCTAAATTATCTCTTTTTTTTTCGTCCTGGAAGAGGAGAAGAAGGAAAAGATACATGGGAAAAGGCACAGCGATGTGTTGGAGGGTATTTTTGTAGAAGCAGCACAGCAGTGACTCATGTGGCAGTGCTGTATTAATAGCACTCTGAAAAGAAAGAAAAAAAAAACCACCAGAAATGGAATTTTTCCCCTTAATTTTGTTCTTCTACCAGCGTGCAGAACTGTATTTTTTTTTTTTTATTAAAAAAAAGGAAATGGCATGAATGTAATTACACCAAGTGGCCCGGCGTTGGCTGTTCGGTGCTGTGTGGGGATGGCTTTGTTTTCCCTTTTGTGTCTGATGGAAGAGGGGCCGAGCAGTGGAGCTGGGGAGAAATGCCCAAATAATGAAGGTGCCGTACTCACACACATGCTTTATGGCACATGGCTCTGTGGCTCGTGATCATTTGTTTCCAGAAACGGGTTTTATGATAATACAGTAAAAATATTAAATTAGAAAATGCCTCACTAAGGGTGATAAAACCTTACTACAGTGGAAATAGGTAATTATCCCCTCTACAGCCTAAATGACAGTTTAAAAGAAATAAAAATGTTAGTGCTCATTACTTGCTTTTGTAGGTTGCAATAAAGGGTAAGTTAAATTTTAATTCAAGGAAGACCCCTGTATCGACCTGCTTCCTCGCACTCCACCTGAGCTGTGAGTGCTGTTCATTACTCAGCACAGCGTTGGCACCGGTGCCCCTCGGTGCTTAAAGTCACCTTCCCTTGTCCGAAGGCAGCAGCCTTGTGCTGGGCTGGCTTGTCTCAAGTCGGTGGCTCAGGTCTGATGGTTGATAGACGTGGGTGGGGGAGAGAAACTGGATGTTTTGTAGCCAAAATCCGGGCTCGTTACGCTTAGCCTTAAGGGGGCTGGGAGTATTAAAATCCACACTTACCCTGGTGAATTGAAACAGAGACAAGGTTAAACCTGGAGGATTGATGAGTTTTACTCTCTGCATGGTTAAATCCTGCTGAGGGGAGATGCTGTGAAAGAAGGGCAGCCTGGATGGTGGGAGGAGGGGGGAAAGGAAGAAGGTTGTGTTGTCGTGTTTTCTTTAGCAGGGTAAAACGCTCGTTCTGATTCAGATCGGAGGGACCCTCTGGCTTTGCATCCCTGCTGGGTGTCTGCCTGTGCTGTGTGCTTTCCTGGACTGTTCCATTTCGGGTTTAGCATTGTGCTGGGAGGAGAGGAGCAGTGCAGTGGGCAGGGAGGTGCTGGGCTGGCGCTGCTGTGCTGCCTGCGAGCAGCAGGGCTGGATGCTGCCTCCTGGGCACCAGCTGTGTCTGAAGAGTTGGGAATGTGCAGAGGCTGTGCTGTCCCTGAGCAAAGCGTGGAGGGAGGGAGGGAGCAGTGTGTGTGAGCTGTGTTGATAGCCGAGCTTCTCCAGAACACTCACTGCTGGAGCTCAGGGCTCTCTGGGTGCTGCTCACAGCACTGACCCCTGCTGTCTTGCTCTCTGTAGCTCATCACAGCTTTCCAAGCACCCGTTCTGCTTTCTAGAGGTGCCCTCTTGCTTTAAGGCAGGAACTCCTTCAGGCTCTGCACAAGAGCTGTTTCCCCACGCGTTCATTTGCAGAAGGTAGAGCAGCTGACTGATGAATCACTTCCTGCACTGAAATTAAGAGATGTGACCCAGGGGGTTACGAAGGGCCCTGTCCTTGTGCTCTGCCTTTGTGCCACCACTGAGCTTTGTCCTTTGAAGCCACTGGTTCGTCCTGGAGCAGTGAGGAGCTCTCCTTGCTCATCCCACAGCTGAGTACAACCAGCGTATTTCTTTCAAAGGGAAACTTGCTCCTGTGATTTCAACTGCTGCACACACGACATTAATTGGAATCTTGTTGCTGGGCCATGTTCGTTGCTTTTCAAGTACCATCAAGTGCAAGAAAACGTATGGGAAGAAAATTGTAACCCCACGCAGGCTGTCTGATTGAATCTCCTTATGGCTCTGCGGTCTCAAACATCCCGTTAAAGTACTCCATCGTGTTTTCTGACTTGAAGGCCCTGTCTGTAAAGGGCAAACTTTCAGAAAACCTACAATCTGTCTCAGGCGAGTCCTGCCCTTTGCTTGTGTTTATTAATGAACATCGTTAAATGCATTTTTAATTATAGACAGGCTTTCATTCCAGGGAATAACATCTCCCTCCTGCCTCCTCTCCCCAGGACGGAGCTTTATCGTTCGCTCTTTGGAAGAATGATGCGGCCTGAAGACCCTCAGCGTGGTTAGGATCCGGCACCGCCGCACCTGCAGGTTCTGCCCCGTTCTCTTTGCAGCTTCCCAGCCTGCTCAGCACCGGCCAACCGTCGTGCCAGGAGAGGGATGTGCTGTCCCTGCACTTCTATTAAACCCTCAAAGGTTTTTATTTTGAAGATTGGTGGGATTTTTGTTTTCTTCTTATTTTTTTTTGAGGCGTGCCGTTCTGTTCGTTGGCTGCGGGTCTGGATGGGGTGACTTGATTTCCACTGAGTCAAGAGGATTTAAATGTCATTTACATAATTAACGTGGCCTTAAAACAGAGAAGAGGTGCTCTGCCTTGCAGCAGCCCCAGCTCCTGGTTCACATTCCAGTTTCAGAACGGCCTCTTTGCAGCCATGGACGTCACCCAGCCTGTGGTAGGCACACTGTGGGGACACACCTGGGGGTACTTCTGCAATTAGAACACCTTGGTGAATTTTTCAGTCCAGCGTTGATTGTGGACACTTAATTATTTCTGCTGATTGTGACTGTGAGCCCTCTTCTCTTCGCTGTGACCGTGACACACTTCTGAAAGATGGCAGCACTAATGCAGAGCTGCCAGAAGGCATCACGCAGGGTTTGTGGGCTTTCTGTAGCCAAAGGCCACAGTTTGGAAATGAAACCTCCATAAAGGGAATCTATTAGCCTGCTGTGATCAATGTGAAACCGAGGTTATCTCGTGTAAATAATACGTGCATATATGTGTATAATGAGAATGGCCATTGCTTGTGACCACAGGAACTGCACTGTCTTTGTTCTGTGGGATTTAATTAAAGCACTTTGTGAATGGATTTTCCAGGTTTGGTCGGTGCAGAAATGGCACCAGCAGCTCTAGCCTCTCTTGGGCCCAGCAACAGACAGTTCTTAACCAGAGGCTGTGGTGTCACTTTGCACAGAGCTGCCTGAGCACCAGCAGAGTGTGCACAGAGCAGCTGGAACTTTGCTGCAGAGCCTTGGCTGGTGCCTGTCGTGATAGTGGTGTGGGGCACAGCCGTGCAGAGCAGTCACGGGGCTGGGGCTGTACAGCAGGAGCTCATTGCCTGCACTGCTTCAGATTTGGAGTGAGTTTGTAGATTTGCTGTATCTAAATATGTGGGCTGACTGCAGGTCTGAGGCATAACTAGATTACGACTAGTTACAGGCACTGCTGCAATTAAATCAGATGATACTTTTGTCCATGTAATCTCTGGATTTCCCTTCCTCACGCAGCAGATTTTATGTGGTTTCACAAAAGCACTGCCAGCACTGTCGGTTCCTTGGTCGGTTCCTGCAGGCAGGACATGGGGCTCAGCCCTCCAGGGGATGATGGGTGCTGGAGCAGCATTGCTGTCCACAGGGCCTGGGTAAGAGCTGCTGTACGGCCTGGTGGCTCAGCACAGGGCAGCAGCAGTGAGACTCAGTAGCTCCATCAGGTCCCCAGAGCTGTCTGCAGATCTGGTATTAATTAATCCTTTTTGCACCTCTTCATTACAGCTTTAAGTCTCCTTTCTAGTTACCTGCTTCTAGTAAATAGCTTCCTGGCACGTCACACGGTGTATTGAGCAGTCTGCCACAGCACAGGAGAACGTGCTGAGCTGCAGAGAGCTGGGGCTGCGTGTGGCACCTGGGGCTGGAAAGTGGACAGGAGGATGTGGGTGCTGCTCTGCCTCGTCCCACCGCCGGCAGCTTGCGAGCAGTCCTACCAGGTACAGAGGCACCTCCTTGGGGAGAGGAGGACTTAATTTACTCAAGGGTCCATGACGTTTCGCTGTTGCTTTTTTAATGTGGGGGAAGGAAAACTGTAATTGTCTGGATAAGCCCAGCTCGTGTGTGCTGCTGCTCCTTTAGGTAATGTGCCTGCGGGTGCTGTGCTTCAGGAAGCTGTGAGCCTGTGTCACATGCTGGCTGCACTCTGTGGGGCTGCATCTCAGCTGCTTGTCAGTGGGCAGAGCGGGGCCTTCCCTGTCTCGCAGCTCTCTGGGCAGGCTTTGCCCCGTTGCCCCCACGGGCTGCTTTCCACAGCCCTTTCCATGTCAGGGTGCTGCTGACACGCTCTCCTTCCCCACAGGGGTGTGAGCAAGGCCATTAAGCCAAGAGCCATGCCCAGCATCACACTGCTGCAGAGTCAGAGGGCCAGAACCCCACATCCATCCTCTGGGTGCGAATCTGGAAGCGTCCCCATAAGCTGCAGCGTGTTGGTTGCCAGCAATGGGCAAAGCAGCACTGCTGCAGCCCCACCAGTGCCCCAGGTGGTTCCCCTGCCTTCAGTGGTTCCTGCACTTCTTTCCTGAGTGGCAGCAGAGCTGTGTGGTCGTCTAACATCATTAAAATCTCATGGTTTAATAACCGCAATTCTGAAAGGCATCAAGGGGAGTAAATTGGCTGCTTCCAAACTTTGTGTCGGTGGAATGGTTGCACGCTGCTGGCGCTGGCAGGGCAGGCATTACAGACGGCTGGCAGGGAGCGCTGTGCCCCTGCCCTGTTGGGGTTTGCTGTGCTGGCAGGAGGGCAGGCTGCTCTGCAGGGCTGCTGCTCTGACTCCTGTGTCCTTTAACGTGGCACCAAGATTCCGGGTATTATTTTTTTACATTTTGAGAGCTGGATGTAGCGTTAAAAGGGTAATGTGGAACACTTTAAATGTGATAACTTCTCCTTCGTATTGTTGGAAGAGATAAGAACCAAAGCCCTGCTAAGCATGCTTTCGAATTCACTTATCAGTGTTTAAGCAGGCTTCTCTGCCCGCTGCCCCCACCACCTGCACGGCCCCGCAGCTCCAGCCTGCTGCCCTTCATGGGGAGGTCAGCACTGGTTCCAGGCGCAGGCAGGTGCTGCTGCCGACTCCCTGTGCCCTGGTGGCAGCGGTCACGGTGCAGCCAGGTGTCGGCAGCAGCTGTGTGTGCTGGTCAGGGAGGGCACAGGTGTCCGGTGTGATTGCTGCTAAGTTTTCCTAATGATGCCAATTAACGGCCGCTGAGATTTATTTCGCTCCCCGATGGAATATCCGTTCTTTATTCATTCATGATACAGCTGCTAATGAGTGCCTGCACACCGGGCCCAGTGCCTCTGTGCAGCATCGTGCAGCAGCCAGGTGTGCTGTGATGGGGAACGGGCTGCGAGTGCTGGGGCGGCGCGGAGGGCTTCTGCTCATCCTCTCCCCCCACAATAGCAAAGAATTTCAACTTTCAGACAAACAACTTCATTTACAAGTGTGTCTCTAATTAGCTGCAGAATTAGTAAAGCAGAGTTTTCCCCCCATAGATCGGCCAAACCCCTGAGGGAGGCTGTGGAATAGAGAGAATCGCATTTCCAATTATTTTGTTGAATTGCTAATTTAGTTATTGTGCCTGGCGTAATTGTGATGGGTATTGGGTGTGCAATTCAATTTGTTTTAAATATTTGTGGGAAGGCTGATCAGTAATGGAGCTGACCTATTTCATGGCCCAAATTGAGAGAAGAGACTAAAACAAAAAACAGCTACAAAGCCACAGTTTGTCTCAGTTTTTATTTTGATGTCTCTCATCCCTCTTAAGACTGTTGATGCAACAAAAGGTTTACATTAAAAGATGATGGCACTTTGATCTCGGGCTTTTGAGAGCTTACAGCTTTGGTACTTCTTTTCTTGGCATTTTAATATGTAGATATTTTAGGCTAAAGAGTTTTAAATGCATTTCTGGAGTTCAATAGCCCCCCGTTTCCCCCCTCCCCCAGCTGTATTATGTTTGTTAAGGTGATTTGTGCTTTTACCCATCAGGATTCTGGTTTGAGAAATGCACAAGATAACAGCTGGGATTTTCCTGGCTCACGTTGTCCAGTTGAACACATCACACCTTAACCTTCAATAGGGAGAACCTGGAAGAAGGTGAGCAGGGAGGATGCGTGGCCGAGCTACGTGCAGGTCATGCCCAGTGTCTGTCACAGGGCTGCTGTGCCACCTCCCTGGGGGGGCTGGTTAACAGGAGGCTGTGCCAGCACCTGCAGAGCTGCAGTCACTCAGTGTTAAAGAAGAGATCTGGGGATGGGAGCACCTGAGTGAGGCTCCGGGACGAGGGGTGACAGACTTACACTCCTGGCAACAGCGAGAGATGTAATTCATTCTTTTTATTAAAAGAAACTGAGGTAAGTGAAATACTTCAGCACCAGCAAGAACAGCGTGTACTGAGGGGGGGTTCCCGCAGTGCCAAACCCCCCACCCCGCTCACAGCCCAACCCACACACACATGGACAGGGCAGGGCACTGCAGCACTGTGCTGCTGGGCTCCAGCATTCACCAACAGCTGCTTTACCCCCAGTTAAGCAGTGCCTGAGCCCCTAACACTGAGCTGGAGGGGGCTGCTCTCGCCCAGCAGGCAGAAGAGTTTGGCGGCTGCAGCTCCCCCCAGGCACAGGGCACAGCGTGGTGGCACCAGGACCTCTCCCATTAACACCTGCAGAAAGGCTGGTAGCAGACCCACATGTGACAGACCTCAGTGTGACACCACCACGTAGCAATTCCTGGCGAGGCGCCCCGTTCTGCCTGGCTGAGACATTCTCTGTCCTTGTGTCTGGCTGCAGCCTGGATTGGCATAAGTAAAAGCATCTCTGGGGATTGTTTGGGAGGGAGCTGGAGGGCAAAGAAGAGCCTTTTAAGTTAAAGTTAGGGTGCTGAACTACGAGGATGAGGTTTGTCCTTTGGGTGGCAGCTCCTGGTCCTCTCAGAGAGCAGAGAGTAACCAAGGAACCCCAGCACTGCACCTCAATCTTACAGCATTCCGGCTGCTGTGCACAGAAGGGAGCAGCAGGTCAGAGGGAAAGAGCACAGGCATGAGGCATTGGCTTTGTAATTAATAATCTTGTAAAAGCATCCCTTCTCATTCACCCTATGCTAAAAGAGGAAGTGTAAAATCTGGAATACTTTTAAGACAATCATTGGTGTGAGCCCCAGTTTTACTTTTCGCAGAGTTCCTGCCCCTCTGCTCCTGTAGTGCTCAGATGGGGCCCTGGACTGGCTCAGCTCCCTGCAGGCAGCCTGCAGCCCTTGCCCAGAGTGACTGGAGAGGTCACTGCAACAGGTGGAGCTGCCACTGGGTGTTAAACGATGTGATTACCAAATTGCACCTCCCCTCCCTTTTTCTTTTTAATTTCTGTCTTCTTGTGTGAACAAGGCAGTTCTTGTGCTCTCCAGCAGCTCTGGGGTAGAGGTTGGTGCAGAAGAAAAGAGAAAAGCTCAGGTGTGCTGAACCAAATTTGCCCCTTGCAGTTCTAACCATATCTGTGTGTTGGACTCATCCCCTCCCTCTCTTGCCTTGGCAGGTTGTAGCTGCTTTTCTGCTTCAAGTCACCTATCCACATGGAAAGAATTAATGAGCACTTTTAAGTATATGCAACAGTGGGTCTGCCCCAGGACTGTTACCCCTCAAAATAAGCAGGGGAGGAAGAGCAGAAATGGGCAAAAGCCACATTTTTACTCTGCCTCCACCTCCTCCTAGAAGGGCTTTTCATGCCCTGATTTGCCTTTCTGATGGAGCTGTGCACACAGGCAGAGTACACAGGGCCCCAACCCCCCTCTGCCACGTCCCCATTCCCGAGTGCTGCCCTCGTGGCAGTGGACACAGCACTGCCTGCCCCCACGTTCTGTTGTAACACAGATGTTTGCAACAAAGCCCACAGGGGCTGATAGCAGAGCTGCTGCTCAGCCACAGTACAACACACAGAGAAGTCTTCAGCGACCGCTGGGACGAAGGAGCTCCCACTGCTCTCAAAGGCAGAGCCCATCCTCAGCCCTCAGCAAATGCTCCTGCAGGTAAAACTGGCGCCTGCCAGCACTGCAGGATGT